GTCTGCTGGCACACGGAGAACTTATTGTGAGTAATGAGGTGCTGAAGTTCTGAAACAACTCAGGATATGAGCTACATTAAAGCCATCAACATACTTCCAGAGCACTATTTGTTGGAAAAGCTCAGAGTGAGGGGTTGTAATCTGATCTTCAGACGGAGCAGCGACCAAATCCATACAGAATCTGGAGAAAGTCTGTGGTCAATTTAAGCTATTTTTAAATAAATAATAGTGCAGAGGAAAATGCTTCTCAGCGTTTAAGAGGTGATTACAGGGGTAATGATTATTTGAACAATGAAGGAGCAAAACATTTCTATTAAGGAGCTGTTATAAAAAAATGCTGACTGATCCAAGAATCACTGACCGGGGAGCAGAGTTGGCAGAGACCACTGTGTGAGCTGGGAAATGCAGCTTGTTTTCCAGTATGTATGAGCATGTGACTTTCTGTTTGAGCACTTTTCTGCAGACCTGGAACTGTGTGTCTAAACTGTTTACCATCGCACGTTGGACTCAAATCTGACAAAGCAACTGTGTGGGCTGTTAAGACTTCAAATACTGAGTAATGAAGTGTCTGTATCTGTTTTGTAGTTCAAAAATGTAGATGATTAGGTCAGCCTTGCACACAGTCTGGAAACGGAGGGAAAAGCTCACCTGGCTCAAGTGTCGTATGAAGTACTAAACAAAAATACTTGAGTTGAAGTAAATTTACCTTACCAGAAAATGACTCAAGTCAAAGTGAAAGTCTTCCATGAGAATTCTACTCGAGTATATCACATTCTCTCTACTTGAGAATGAAAAGTACTCAAGTAAATGTACTCCAAGTAAAGGTAAAAAGTCAAAGTACAAATAAGTATATTCTTATTTTTTGAAAAAAATCACTTATGCCCAAATAAGAACACATTTCAAGTGGGTGCAAGCAACAGCTTAGAAAAATAAATGGACACACACAAAGAGGGGCGCGCACACACACACACACCACCAATCATGAGAAACAATAGTACATCCTCCTACAGTCAAGAGGGAACTTATAGGACAGAAGTTGGGCATGACGAGAACCATCAAACAGACACTGGACATTTAGGTGGGTGCAAGCAACTGCACAACCTACAAGCAGCTGCCGACATGCCCGGGCTTGAGTGACTGATTGATGATGATCAAGCGCAATGCAAATCAACATTAGGTAAAAGGTAAAGGGAAAAAAAGTTTTTTCCCCCTACTCACAGTCATAGTAACAAAGTAAAAATAGTAGTAGTGAAGATACTTCTGTGAAATGTAGATGAGTAAAAGTATACTTTTATTTTTAGAAATGTAGTCAAGTAAAAGTAAAAGAAGCGGGCACAACAAAAAAACCTCCAGTTAAGTACAGATACTTCAAATTTATACTCAAGTACTGTACTTAAGTATTGCTACTTACTTACTATACAACACTGCCTGACTCTGTCCAAAGGTAACAACAAAAGCAGCCTGAATGCATCTCAGATGGTGCTGAACAATGAAAACTGACTGATGCTCATTCACTCCCAACATAGAGCATGCTGGGACACCTGGTGACGCATACAAACCTGTTGGCGCTATAACATGACCTGAACAAGTCTGACTTAGCTTACGTAAAGACTGCACAGTTGAACTGCAGCACTGGCAGCTTTTTGAACCTTTATGTATTCAACAAGGACATGTCCAGTAAGACTAATGATAATTGCACTGAAGTTAATCATCTAGTCATTACAAAGTTCTTCTTGGGTAAAAAGCTCGTAGAATAATATTGTTCATGTTTAAGTCAGATGAAGCTCCGGGGTGCCAAGCTGTCGTTAAAGGCTGAGTTCAGAGCAGGGGCTGCCACTCTTCATCCAGAGTCTAGTTCTTGAACAGCGGCCTCTGTTTTGACAGATTTTCTCTCGTTAGTTTATATTTTAATCATTCATCTTGTACCGCACAGTTTGAAACCAATGACGTTTTTAGAGCGAGTTTTACAGAGCTAGTAGGATTACTCACACTCCTACCCACCCACAAGTCTATACAAACACTTTATAAACAGCACATTCTTGATTAGTATGTGTATGTGTGTGTGGGTCCCAACTTCAGACACACTGTAAGCTGCGGTTGAGGATCAATTACTTCATGGAAGTTGGTAGTCTTCTTCCAGCTTCAGTAGAAGTGCATCAAACTGGACATGTTCATAAGAGTGGATGGGTCCAGTGTTTCCTTTTTCTTTTTCCTATGAATGAAAGAACAATAAACACATCATTAAAACATCTGTAAGATACTGAGATGTTAGTCAGAGTAGATTTATTTTTATTTTTATTTAATCGTTATTTAACCAGGTAAGAAACCAAATGAGATTGAGATCTCTTTTACAAGGGTGATCTGGCCAAGAGGTCAGCGGCACACGTCACAATAATAATAATAGCAGTATTCACAGTAAAGACAGAAAAATAAATCAAAGCTGTTCACTGGTTTCACAGTTTTGTATGATTTTGTTTGTGAAAAATAAGATGATGACTTACCTCTGGGATCATTTTTGTTCTGTTGGAATCAAAAGTGTAGGAGGTGAAGAGCACAGATGACTCACTGATTAAAACGTTTTGTGTGTTTTTTGAACTTTCTTCGGCTTGTTTCCACAGTAACCCACAATAAAAAGCTTCTGGAGATGTCTGTGACTGATAGGAGGTACAAAGTTAAAGACAACAGTGACCTCTTACAGCCCTGATATTATCTAACCCAATGAGAAGAATGAAAAGGACTGATTTAAATAATTCACAGATGACTGATTTTTTTGTTATCAGCTCTTTTGTGTGATTAAAAAAATCAGAGTTGTTGCATTTTTTAATAATTGCACCAAAAATTCCCCTCATGCCTTGTCAGTCCTGTCAGCGGTGGTTATGCACTTCTTATCTGGTGTGACATCTGCTGGTTAACAAAGAGGAAATCCACTCCCCTTATTTACAGTTGTGCCCAACAATGAGAGGGACACTTGTTCAGAAATAGTTGGGCATAGTTTGGCTTCACCTCATGAATCATTTTTTTGATGCTTCTACTTGATTAAGTTAAATCTTTAAAAAAACAAAAAGGAAAAGCCTCTGTGAGTGACCGAGCCAAAAGATTCTGCCCTTTAAGGAACTTTACTGGTTGTCACTTAAATTCACGAGGGCATAAACTGAGGGGCACAAATCTGACAGAGTTCAGATCGTTTGATACAGCTGCCACTTCTACTTTACACTCTGAGCACTAGAACTGTTTACTGCCAACTTAAAGTGTATTTAGGCGAGCTAGCAGCTGGCTATCTCAGGAGTACGTCAAAGCTATCTATGAATTGGTCCCTGTTCGTCTTGTTTTCTGACAGGTCATCTCATGTGGTGAAGTTTTTCCTGGCTGCACGGCTGTTGTATAACAGCTGAGATCAAAGTCAGTCATTTGCAGCTGATTTCATGGGAACTTGAGGCGCATTTCTGCTTCAAAATCCTTAAAACAAGTGGCTTTGCTTTCTGTGTATTTGTGTGGGATCTCAAAGAGTCAGGAGGGGACTAAAGAGCGCGGCCTGGAGCTCATGTTGTCTTCCTGTATCCCGACTGAAACACTGTTGAGCTGAACTAAACTGGGCTGTAATAACTGATAATACCTACATGCAAACATAAGTGAGAAAATACAGTCAAATTAATTTTAAACATTAAATCTCAGTAAGACTTTTAAATGTGTTCCCCTGGTTTTGTACGTATGTCGTTGCTGCCACGTCCCTTGGTTGTAAAAGGCTTAAACAAAAAGACTCAATTGGTTATTGATCGATTGTTAAAAAGATAGATTCAAACTTTTTCATTGTGCAATAGCTTCAAAAATGAACAAGCTGATGACTAAAAGTGAGTGCATTTCCTCTCACACAAGCAAAACAGATTCATGCAAACATTTGGGGTTTATCCTGGTCATGATCAGAATTCTGCACTTAAACATTTGCTATCACCTTAACCATGTCAGAAATTCAGTATCACACTTAAATGGAGCAAATCTCTAATGCCAAAAATGATGACATTCTGACTTTTGTGCAGATATAAGCTGAATGGACGTACGATGACCACAGAGACAAGCCAAACAAATAGTAAAGGGGCCTGTCTTCTCTCTTTGAATTAGATTTCACTTCTATTTTCTCCATCATCCAAGAGGAGAAGCACAGGCACTCGGACGTTTATCAGCCCCTGCATCATCCGTTCTGTTTTTGCTTTACCTTTATCTCCAGACTGGGATTGCTCATTGTTTTTTTCTAACTAAGTTTGACAGCAGACGTGGGGGAGCAGCAGGTGTTTTTCTGCTGTGTATCAATAAGCACAGAGGGGACAGAGAGGACAGCTTCACTGAAAGACCCTGCTGATGTAAAACAGCCTCACAGGTTCCATCCACATTCATGTCGGGTTGTTTTTGCAGGGGGATCCTTTTACAGTACATCAGCTCCTCGAGCCTTTAAATAATCCTCATTTACTGGTTGTTGGAGTCTTAAAGGTCAGTGGGGCTCTTCTTATTGTTCTCAGCTGAATGTGAACATTAACAGCGTCACTGACTATCCATTTATTCATGTAATTATGTCCCATACATTGAAGGGAAAGCAAAGAGGTAAAAACAAGAGCACTCTTCCACGCACCCTCATGTCCTGATACATACAATCCTATTTCTCACATTTTTTTTATCAATGTGTGTTTTTCCCAGAGTCTGGATGATCCTCTGACACTCACACAGCTCTGCAGCGTGTTTACTTAAGCCACTGCATTGCTTGTTTAAGCTTAATTGCAATGAATTGGAGCCTTCAATTGTGTTTATTGTTTTAGAGGGAAAAGGCTCTCTCAGCCAGGTCTACTTCCTGAGACCCTGATTTTCTTCCCCGTCCAACTATTTCTCTGTTTTTCTGCATGTCATGCTGTGTTTAGCAACATCTTTTTGACACATTATCAGGATGCAGAGGCCTTTTTTACCAAACCTCGACTGTCACATTTTCAACAGACTTTGGAAAGTGTCTCCTCGGGGCTGTTTGTTTGCGCTAAAAGAGGTCATTCAATGAGTCAAAAATCTTTCAAACTATAACATGGGGGAATGAAAAGAGTGTGAGAAAATCGGTGCTTGTGTTATTAACTTCCGCTTTATGTTGACAACATATGATGACCCGTCAAAGGTTGTATTTGCTGTAAAATGACAGAGATTAATTTACAACTGCATCATAAACTTTACATGTATTCCTGAACACAGAGGACCACTTAGTTATTAGTTTTTCCACATACATAGATTACATATCACTTACAAAAGAAAAACTGTTCATGGAAACCACAGATTTAACATTATAATACAACAAAATCCAACATAAAGTGCATTTAGATTACAGAATAAATTAAGAAAACTTGTTTATGTGGCTATCTGTTTGTCAAATTGTACCTTTAAATAACTTTTATAGCATGTTATAGTAATAAGGGGTGTTTTTCTCAGCAATAAAGCAAACAAAGTGTCTAAAGTTAACTGCAACATGACAAACAAGAAAGGCAAAAGTAATTTACTGATTAAGCAACAATCTGGAGCTGAGCTAGTAACAGGGACAGGGAGGTAGACTGTGTGCTTTAAATCTGCTGACATCAAGAAAAATGTGTTTTTTTGCTTGGATAACAAAGTTCAGCTTGTTATTAAGAGGTGAGGACAGCCATTAAAAGACAAGAAAAGCAGAATTCTGATTAACAATAGAAAACAACACAAACTGATCTCAGTGAGGATGATAAAGCAATGACTGTTTTTCAAAATAAAAGCACGTTCACAAACTTCCACTGAGAAGTCTTAGCAACCTTTTTGGATAAGCTGTCGTTTGTGTAAAAATGCCAAAGTAACTGACACAGACTCGGTCTCATGTCAAACTTACTGTGTCATTGTGTGGACTTCAATTATTTGATAATGAGCTGCTGGTTTGACAAAAGCTAACTAAAGCGTCATTCTTTCCTTTTACTTTTCTCAGAGGATGAGAAGAATCATCAGAGTAACTGCTATGATAAATTATAATAATCTACATCCAAATGATCTATGAGTCCTTTTTACTTCAGTCCTGGTTTTCTGGATGTAGCTGTGTTTGATTCAGAAGCGCAATAATACTTAAAAATTCCAAATGCTCAGTGGAAATGGACAGTCCCTTATGTTTGTGATAAACTTCTCTCAGAGAAGAATCCTTTATTGCAACCATTTCACAAAACATTTATCATGAGGAGTATTTTTTTTCTCAAGCCGACAGGTGTGTTTAAATATATTTACATTTAGTGACAGCTGACAGTGACTATCCACTGATCCACACCACATTTGAGATTTCAGCAGTTTGGTGGTAATAACTGTGGCACATGAGACTAAGTGCCTTCCTAATAAAATGAAGGTTTACTTTTTATAATATGAGATGACAACTTTATAATGACTCACTACATAATAATACTGCACTGTACTTAAGTCATGGACCTCCTGTAAGGCATGACCTCCACTTCACAATGAATGTTTTTTGATACTCAGTCCTCACAATGAAAGCAACACATGATTACTCACACGAAACCTTCAACACTGTTTTTACTTACCATGACCGCAGGCTTGTGAATCAAATATTCTGCACTGCTGGCCTCGTAATTTTAGAGTAAAGTTTCACAATACTTGAACAAAGTGGCTAAACTAAGGATGGATAGCTTTCCCATCACTGGTGTTTGAGTCATAAGAAAGGGGGTTGAATATTTCAGGGAAAAACGCCTATATCTGCACACACAGTCAGATTTAGTCATCACTGGAGGTAGCTGGGTGCTGAGCTTCAAGTTTTTCTTATGACCTCAGAAGAAGAGTCATTATTCTTATGTGCCGCCCTCTATATCTCCAGAGGTTTGAAATGTTCACTTTGAGAGAAGTCATTTCGTAGACGATCTACTTCAGAGAAAACACAGAACTTTCTCCTAATCAGAGTTTGTTCAGATGCATTTCTCCCCTTCTGTCTGACTACTCAGCCACACCTGCAGTGCTGAATCTTTAGGGCACTTCAAGGTTGAAAGGTCCCTGATGTCATTTGACTTTTCACTGTTTTCAGCTTCAACGCTGCCCTGCCCAGATGAATTTGAAGCTTTCGAGTGTCTGATTGAAGAGGATTTTGAATCAGAGAGTCTGCGCTCTCTCTGACAGCCTCCAGTGTATGTCTCGCCTCCCTCAGGCAGGTACAGAAAAGTCTGGGAAGTGCTGGAGGCTTCTCGTATGTCATGGGAAACAAGGGAGCGTGAGTCCCGGTTTGAGATCACTGAGGAAAGTTGATGAGAGTCTATGCATTGGCAGCTTCCTTGTCTCTGTTGCCCCCGAGCTTCCATCTTGCAAAATAAGCACTTGATTTTCTCAATGAGTTTGAGGAGCACAGCCTTACGGAGCAGGATGTAGATCCAAGGGTCAAGGATTGGGTTGAAGGAGGCAAAACGTATTGCTCGTAGATCAGGATTTTTCTCTAACCGTGGCTCCACTGGAGTTTTATACAGCTGGTTCAAAAACACCTGAGCCTACAAGTGGGCAGAGGATAGGAGAAATTAGTCATTTGCTGCTCACACACACATATTTGGATCAATCTGATTGATTAAATAGTTAAAGCTACTGCTATTGATGCATGAAGCAGTAATAGAAAGCCAAATAATGCAATGTATTAAACATAAATAGAGTTTTTTTCCTAAATGATGCAGAAATCGTGACCGAATTGTTTACTGTAGAAATAAAAGTAATTTGTGCGAGAAAGATCCGTGCGTAAAACGTGCGTAAAAAGGATAGGAATGAGCTGAAAAAAACTTACAACTAGTGGAATGGAGCAGATAAGCACCACTGCTGACGTGCCTATGAGCAGAATGACCATCTGGATCTCTGCACCGGCCAGACGACCGAAGCTGCGTCCTCTCCTCCGCGGGTCCACGTTGCGCCCCAGATCGGTTCCCAGAGATGTCCTGCGCATGTAACGCCTGTGCATCCGAATCAAAGCTCCGCACACGAGCACGTTACAGATAACTGTCACCAGGGTTAGAAGAGAGCTGAAACCCGCATACATGTAGGAGTAGGCGGCGTCGCTGGTCTTGTTGCTCCTCCACTCTAAAAAGCACCAAGTTTGCGGGTACTGTTTCTTCACCTGTCCAAAGCCGATAAGGGGAAGGGCGCAGAAGAGCGCATTGGAGATGTAGATCGCCAAAAGAGTTAAACCAGCTAGTTTCTGGTCCACAAAGTCATTGTAGAAGTAAGCATGGTTTATGGCGATATATCTCTCCACAGACATGGCACAAATGATACTGAGTCCTGCCAGAGAGAAGAAAAGCATTGTGAATCCAAAGTACTGGCACAGCGGGTCCTCTCCGGGCCATGAGCCTTTCACATAAATCGCGATGGTGACCGGACTGGCCAAAAGAGTGCCAAGCAGGTCCGTGACGGCTAGCCCACACACCAGCGTGTAAAACGTGGTTTCTTTCTGCTCTTTGCGAGATTTACAAAGAACCACGATGGCGATCACGTTTCCAACCACCCCGAAAATGAACATGATAGACGGAATAGTGGGGACCATCGTCCTCCCCGTCATCGACTGATTAGACATGATGTCCTCAGGGAGAAATCAACAAAGTGAAGAAAAAAAAACTTTTCCTAACGGAAGTATTTCCAGTCCAGAGTGGGAAACTTATTCACTCTCGAAAAAAGCAAAGACAACATGATGAAAATCAAAGAAAAATGTTTGCACCTTATCCTTCAACAAAGAACCGATCAGCTCTGCTCAGAGCAAGAAGTAGGCTGCTGCTGGTCAGCACAGGTTCAGAGATGTGTCAGTGATTCTTTCTCAGCCTAGTGAGACAGACGCGGATTTCTCTCACCAGGACAACAAGGTGAAAACAGACAACAGACATGAGTGACTTCATTGAAATACAGCTCTGCCTTCAAGCTTTCTGTGGGATTCAGTCCCTCCCCTATATCTCACTCCACAGCCCTCATCAGCTGTTCAGTCTGAGGCAGGAAAGGTCCAGGGTGACACAAACTCACAGTTAATCCTGTACAACATGCTGTAGTTTCAGATTAATGAGAAAAACTCTTACATGATGTAAACTTTTGCAACAGTCGTTACTGTAACAGGTATATGATGGACTCTGTAATCTTAAAGCCGCTGATCCAAGTAGAGAGGAAAGAGTATTAATGAAAGAATGGCATGGCATTGAAAGGGTTTAACTCTTTGCTCTAAAAGGTGAGAAATACTCCTCTATCTAAAGGTAAAACTAAATGGATCCTCTGTGCACTCAAAATGTCTTTGGGGCCAAAAGGTTAATTATTGGTCAAACTAATGGCCTCTGAGTATAATACTGATCAGCTCTATGAATGTCATGTTTAAAAAAAAACCTGTAAAGTTTCCAAATGTGTCGAACTTAGCAAAAGTGTATTCTCTGTTATAAAAGATAAGCCAAACTATAAATGAAATTACATTACAAACTAGAAAAGCACTCGGAGAGCGCAGACCTCCGCCAAGCAGCTCATGTCGGCAGTCGGCAGAAATCGTTTAGATCCGCAGAAGACGTCTGATATAAACGATTTCTGCCGACTTTGCAGAGTCAACTGTAGAATTAACGGCGTTCTGAATGAACGGGGCTTTGAAAAGTCCTGCAGCATGTGTTAGACGTCACCATCTACACATGGACCAATCAGGGGCTGCCTTTCCCTGTTGTCCGGGGAACAGCGGAAACACAGTCACTGATTGGCCCGGTTATTTTCTGATCGCCAATACACGCTCCCAATGGGCCGAAGTCCAGACTGTTGTGTGAAGGAACGGCAAGTGATTCACGCAACAGGATGGCCCAGCCAGGCTAGCTCATGTCCCCCCTTTAACAAGAAATGCCCTGACCGGGATTCAAATCCAGGACCTTCTGGCTGTGAGGCGACAGTGCTAACCACTACACCACTGTGCCGCCTATCTACACCACTGTGCCGCCCATTGGTTATCTTTTAGCATTGAAAATTCCAACGACACCCTTATTTTTGTGTGTTCTGGATCACAGTATCCAGAATTTTGTCCAGATCACCACCAAAATCTAATGGGATCCTCCTGGAGCTGAGACACACCTCTGGTGAAAATTTCAGGTCAATCTGTCTGTAACTTTCTCCATAAAGTTGCTAACAGACGACAAACAAACAAACCAACGCTACCGAAAACATAACCTCCTTGGCGGAGGTAATTAAGATTGAATAGACTTGATATGAGATGTTATTGGAACTTTTATTTTTAAATCAGGGCTGCAATATTCAGCTCGTATAATTCTTTAAAAATTTTACAACCCTTGTACAACTGCACAGTTTTGTTTTATTGACCTGGATTTGAAATTTCCAGACAAATGAATGCATTCAGAAAGCCTCCAATCACGACTGACACTGTAAAGATGCTGTGCAAACCTTCAGCTGGTGAGAGAGAGAGAGACTTTATGCTGTCTGTGATTAATGTCATCATTTGAAATTTAAGAGGCTGTTATAAATCTGCTACTGGAGGCGGCCAAAGACGTCAGAAGACTAATTTTGAGGTTTTTAGACAACTAGGCTAAGATTATTCACAGCCAAGAAGCACAAAAACACAGCATGGAAAAAACAGCTTCAATTTGGATGGAAGAGGAGAGCTGTAATTTAAAGTGAACACACAGTAATCTTTATGACCCACATTAAAGTCGAGTTTGCTGCAGGTAGCCTATTTGGGAGCAGGTTTAACTAAGTTCATAAGCGGAGTGAGCAGTCTGGATTCAGATCAGACTCAGTATTTCCAACCATCTCCTGTCCTATCCTCTCCATATAAGCCATTAAAAGCTGAATAAATAATGTTAAATAATCTTTAAGAAGTTGCCATTTCTTTGCATTGACAACATGAGATATTTCAATTTCAGTTAATCTAACTGGCGACTTTAAAGCTGCCTGACAAGACTGGTGAAAAATTGCTAGAAAAATAACTGTTCTCTACCTATCAGAGATTGTTTGACTATTTTTAGCAGGTCAGTTTCTTGTCTGGGCGACCTTCCAGACTTGTTGTAACTGTTTGCCAGGTGTCAGGACTACTCCACCTCTTGGACGGTTGGCGACCCCCACGGTTAGACTTCATCACACTGACATTACAACCACAGTCTGTGGTAAGTAACATAACCATGATCAGGTGGGTGAGAATTTTAACAATGACAGGCCGGACGACTATTGCTGAAGCAAGGATGTACTCAACCTTGAGCTCAGTGTCAGATGAATGATCAACATGCTCTTTTTTACATTACAAAAACAGAAGTATCATCATGACAACTTGTACAGCAAAGGTAGAGAGTTTCCTCTGAGGACAAATGAGGACAGTCGATTTAAAAGTAGCCTGAATGGTAAAAATATATCCTCTGTGAGAAATATCAAAATCTAAAGTCAAGAAACAGATTTGTCAACAGCTTTCAGCTCATGGTTGTCAATGGGAATAATGTCAGTACATGCAGACTCTGGGAAAAATTTAACATTTGCCCCGAGAATAAAAAAAATGCTGAGAAAATAAAAGCTTTTCAAAAAGGCCTCATTATCATGTCATGTTAGGATGATATGACTGAGAACAGGAAAACTGTTCTGTTTGGATCTGGATGGGTTAAAAAGAAGCTAACAGGCTGAGTCCACTAACTCAGTCTGTTCCCTCCCCTCCCTCAGTCTGCGTTTGCTCTCACAGAACATGTTGAACTTTGAGGAACCAAGACCCTGAGCCTTGCCGCCTGACGTCACCCGACTACACTGACCCTGTGCGCTCTGAAAACACACTTGTTGTTTTCTTTTGTTGCCAGTATCTGCCATTCATTGAGACAGAGAGAGAAAAGGGGGGAACCCTTGTGATAATGGGCTTGGCATTAGCCTTGAAATAATAATATTGACTTAAGCATGCTGCTGACTGTTTGCAGCAAAATTGGCTTTAACATATCCACCCTTTAAAACAGCTGTTATATAACATGTTTGTGTGAATGTGCATGTGTATAAAATATGATCGCAGTTGTGTTCTTGTTGTGTGTTTCTGTGCGTGCACGTCTGGTTTCCAGCTTTCAAAATGTTCTGTATGTAGATTTGAAAGATTAGGCCTCTCATGAATGTGCTTTTCCTGGATTTGTTTGTCAAAGTTAGATAACCTGCTGCAAACTTAGAGTAAAGACCACATGCACATTTCTAAAAGAATCAGTTTTTCTTCTCCGCGTAAGTCCCGATAAAGTTTCGAAGATAGACAATGACACAGCTGAGTGGGCTTTCTGTTTGTACACGTTTTTCTGTAGACTTTGTACTTGTATGGTGGCGAAAAAAACTTTCCCAACAGAGCATTTCCTTTGAGAGTAAAATTCCTGAGCAAAACAAGAACATAGTGTCTGGGAAGGTTTTTAAATTCCACAGACTCAAAGTGCTGCTAATCGGTACTCTAGCTGTTTGAGATTTTCTTAGGTCAAGGTGGGCAAATGTTGGTAAAATAAAGAAAATGACAAGTTTCTGATTTTAGAATTGAGTTATAGCGCTATAAGATTGTCCTTTTGGTGCCCTTTTGGAGTCAGGCCAACATCGCTGTCACCCGCTGTTTACCCAGATATTTTTTGTTTTCCAACTCTGTCAAAACTTGTAACCTGACATCGATTTGACATTACCCTCCAGCAAAATCTGACAAGTAAGCATCATGTATTACCTGCCAAAGAACACAAGAGTCACGGGTAACATAATTGCAGGTGCTCATGATTTGCCAAGAGAAACTGGAGAGGGCAGTCAGGGTACTGGCAGCTGGTGAGAAAGCCCAGTATGCTAAAAAAGTCCCGCTACGCCAGGAGTGGTGCTGCAGCTTACAGAGCAAACTCACTGAAATTCATCACAAATAGCTCATGAGTACTTTTCGAACCCTGACCCTCAGTCCAGATAAACATTACTGCTTCTTTTTTTTTTAAGGCTAGTACGTTGAAATAGAGCAGCTCACAGTTTGAAGTCGTCTATCAACAGCAGAGTCACCCCACTTGACTTCGGTCTTCCAGTTTCCTTGTGAGTATAAGCCTCGGTGGCCTCACTTGTTGTCCTTGAGAAGTCTCGGCCGTCAGCTTGTTTTTAGATGTTTCGTTTAGAAAGCCTTTGGATGTGTTTACTCTGGGATCCCGTAGATTTGTAGATAACATCCGTATGCAATCTGGCTCAGCATAACAAAGCCTCAGCGCAATAGATGGGATGTAAACTGTTTGAACTGGCACTGCGATTGAGACGTGATGCCAACATGAAAACAGGAACACTTTGTCTACTTTTGGAGATTATTCACTCTGAGTTAACTCTGTCATTCATTTGTTTGAGATTTCCACGCAGTCATCACATAATTCAAGCCTTATCCAACTATGAAGCTATGAACCTTGTCAATATGTGTAATAAAAACGCGTCTAAAAGTCAACAGCTCTGTTTGTAATGTTACCCCTCAAATGGCGTACACTGAGCCCAGAGGGACAGTTTACCCTTGCCGGAGGCTGTGCAACCTGGCACAAGCCCGTCTAATGCACTCTGTGTTTGACTGACCAAATTTATTTCCTGACCTTCCTGAGAGTCCGGCAAATATCACAGCAACGGACAAAATCATTGGAAGATGCTTTCAAAGTATTAATCCATCCAAACACTTCAGATTTTGGAAAAACAGACTCTTAACTAAGCATCACTGCACTTTACGGAGCAAGTGTACCATAAACAGCAGACGTTATTGTGGTTTATCATTAACAGGAGCAGAAACTCAAAGCTGCGTTAAGGACCTTTACAGCCTATCTTTACTAGAACAGCTGACCCGAACCGTCTGTTAAAGCACAATGGAAAAAAAGAGCGTGCAGGGTGTCCCACTGCTGAAGCGGCATATATTAAAGATAATGGTGTAAACTTGGTGCCAGAGGGTAAAAACGAAACAAACGAGCAAAACACACTCTCGCTCTCCGTCTCTTCTAACAAGCTCATTTATATTCTAACTTCAGAGTTTGTGCAGCAGTTTGGGACTCTCTGGATGCTGTTTGTGAATTCTTCATGCAGCGGCTCGTTAGAAAGGAACTAACTTTGCATTTATGACTGACAACAACCTGCAGACCTGAGGGAAGGGTCCCCGACTTTCAGCACGGTTTCACAGGATAAAGGTTAAAGATAAAGATGAACTTAGAAAGAGGAAGCTGCTGGATGACAGATTCAGGTTCAAACAGTCAACATCCAGACGGTGGAGAGTATCCTTACAAAAGGACACAAAGATACATTCAGAAAATAACAATATGAGGAACTGTGAACCCGTCAAACACTCCTGATTTGTTTAGGAAAATTTTGTCCACGTAACTCTAAGTTGCAGAACAAGTGTACCTTTGTTTGCAGTCATTGGTTTGGTGTATCATTAACAGGAAAAGGAACTCAAAGCTACATTAGGATCACTAATCAGATAATTATACATGGCCAGACAACCCGAGCCGCCCAGTCTTTAACCTGGTTGAGCAGTGAAAAGTCCTCCTGGAAGGTTCTCACAACACGCTCCTTTGGGTAGATATGAAGCAAAAGAAGGTTGTTGTTGCTGATTTCTACACAAGTCCAAGTCTTTTCAAATTAACTTTGAAGTTTTTTAACCATTATAGTTCAAAGTTTCAAAAGTAACATGTTTGAAGCAAAGGTTTTGGGCTTTTTCCCTCAGCATTGACTCAAAGCTGGTTCTTGAAAGTGCTCTGCATTAATCACGTAATGACAGAATAATAGCCGACTGTATCAGACACCAAATAAATCAAATCTCTAATTACCATTTCAGATCGCCCTAATTTGTTACTTTAATATCCAAGCAATACTCTGATGTCAGGACAGATTAGTGAAATGTAAACCCCGGAAACAAACAGACAGATTTATTAAACTTTTTTTTTTCACTTATCTGTTTAAAATGTTCGTTATGAACCTGCTGACCTTGATGAACAACTAAAGATTATTAAGCTTTTTTTTGTCCTGTACATTTTGGCCAGAGGGAACACCACCAGCAGCATCTTATCCTCCAATCTGCTTTAAGAACAGGACAGACAAAACAGTCTCCAATGTCAGATAAAAATCCAACATACAAATCAAGATAAAGGAACTGAATCCTGTTGATTTAAGCAAAAGGATAAAAGAGGGGAAAAAAACACTGCTTGCATTCACAAAGGATAAACCTGAGCTGTGGGAACATAAAACCTCTGATTTAGCAGTTTGAATATTTTTGCAAATCAGGCGTTTAAATTAAGTCTCTGTTCGGAGGAGGCGGCACAAACCAAACTTCAGAGATCAGATGAGGATGATCTGAAGTGTTTCCATACAACCATCAAATATTCCTGGTAAAAATTAATGGTTTGAACAGTATCAGGGCTTAGCTGTGATGTCTCATGGATTCCCTTTCCTCCAACCAATTCTGTAATATTTGCATATCTTAGATAACCCAGTTTCCCAGCAAAGCTCCCCTTAAGGAAAAACGCACTTAGAAGGATTTGTGTATCACATTACCAGTGAGGTGAATGTCAAACTTCTCACCTGACTGACCGTCTCAGACCTTCTCTGACTCCAGCTGGAAATGTAAACACTGGTCCTATTCGTAGATTCCAAGAAGAGCCTGAGGCCAAATCTGATCAAAACAACTTCATCGTCTACAGCTTTTGCATAGTTAATTTTTAATCGGTGAGAGACACACATATCCCGAAAGAAGAGCTGAGTGTAAATAACACTTTAGGAAAGAGTTAGCTTGATAAGATGATGTCACTTTTGTTATATGGTCTTAAACCCAGACTCACGTCACCAATTAACCGCTGATTAAAGCAGCAAAAAGGGCAGCTGCGCCATAAATGTGAAATCTGAAGTTTAATTGTACAATCTTTTGTTTTAATTGTTTTTTAAGTGACAGAACAAAACACTTACGGTAGAACAAAAAATCAATATATCAGTTTTGTACATCGCAGTCGTAAACTATCGAAAGTGTAAAGGGCACTGGAGAGAGTGCAGACCTTGACAAGGCCAGTAGTCTAGTCTGTAATGTACAAGGCTGACGTCTATGTTTGGTTATACAGCAGATTTTTTAAGCAATTTCATAAAATAAAAATTGGTAAGTGCCATTATCTCAGCTGTGAACTAAATCAGGCACATTTACGATGTTGAACATGCATGTTTTTATCTAGGACAACACCCTTTCAATATAAATTGATACAGCCCAAAGCAGCGATACCTTCTGTTCGCTCTGATAACAAGTTGATTTCAGTTATTTAATAAAGTTATTTTTCTCTCATCTCAGGATCCCAGATCTGGGTTAACCAGTTTAACTAACCGTTTTATCTTATTACAGGTTAAGATTACAAAACTGATGTCCTAACTCTGGGACAGTTTGATACCGACCAAGATAAACTGTTATGTTGGTGTAAATACTCTCTAGAGCAGTGGTTCTCAACTGGTGGGTCCCAACCCAAAAGTGGGTCGCGGACATGTTCTGGATGGGTCATGAACAGCTAGTCAAAAAAGTTCATATTTAATACCAATCTGATGTTCGACGTGTTTTATTTTGAAAAATAGCTTATTTTGAAAGGCACGTATTATGTCGTGGTCCTCCTCAGTTTCTTATCAATTTGTGAAAAAATGCATCCTTTTTTTTGTCCTCATTTTGTGTGATTTGATATTTATTCACTTTTGTCCATGCTGTTGTTTGGTTCTCCTCAGGTTCTTCTGAATATGCTCTAAATGCAGAGATGCATATAAGTCAAATTTTTCATTTTGCTGGTCTCCATTTTGTGCAATTTTCTGTATTTATATTAAAGATTTGAGTCTTTAAATTTTTTTTTTATAAAAACTTAATTTGTTTGGTTTGAATTTTATAAAAGTGGGTCACAGCTTAAGGACACAGTATTTATTTACATTTCACTAAAGTTTGCTCAAAGCCAAACCCACTGAAAGCTGAAAGATATTTCGCCTCTTGTATAAATGAAGTCTTTGAAAGTTGGTGCTTTCTTAGGTAATTAAGTAAAATTTAAAACAGCTTCTGCTGACTCGTTCAGATGCTGAGTGTGAATGAGTCATTTTTAAAAAAAATGCTGTTACTAAAAAAGAAACGCTTCCGTGAGCTTCCCTCAGTTAAAAGCTTTAACATCTTTATGTTTAAATCACCAAACCCTGACTTTGAGTGAAGACCCTCTCCGTGAGCAGCAGTCAGTAAGGAGCCTCTGCACCACAATGGATCTTGTTTTAACATTATGTGGCGTTCATTCATCCCGGACTGCATACCAGGCCGTTTCCCAAGACCATGCTCTGAATACTGAATAGCGGCAACATAATGTGGAGTGAATGCATTATGTGCTCTACCACAACGGCATTTTCTTCCCCAAAGATCTATTATCTTATCACTCTGTGGAACCTAAACAAGCACGGCTCTACTCGATTTGTCAGTTCAGTTGTTGTGTATTGATTGTTATTCCTCTCTCATGTTGATATTTCATTTCAACAAACACTGAGGTGCTCTTTGTGTCTATTTTCACAATATTCAGTCATGTTTTATGAATGCTCTCTGCTGTGTAAGGTTTCTAGTAATAAATACATTCCTTTCCATGAAGGGAATCTGGTTTTCTCTAGATTGCTTATCAGCAAATTCTCCCGCGCAATACGCCTTTCACTCTCCTGTGAGAAAAGGACACTTTTGACACACACTCACGCTTACACACACGCAGATGACCGCGGGCGGGGAGGAAAAGGAGTGGGAGGATGTGATGGCGAGATCTATCCCAGCTTTCCTTCTCTTTCCTTGCATGAGGTCATCCCACCGCCAGGATGAACAACTGATGTGTGCACGTTTCAATGTTGATAGCACCTGCAGTTGTCAGAAAAACAGATAATATATTCGAAACAGATTATATGAAAGAATGAATCTGTTTAATTTGAGGATAAATTTATATTTAGCCTTTTTGATTTATAAAACAGAGCAAAACACATCACATAAACACACGAAAAGTGAGATTGACAGAAGAAACATGCAGATGAGATGTTGCCAATGAGGATACTTCCCAATTTTAGAGACATTAAATCCATAATATCTCCATCAGCCTAAATGTACACAGTCAATATACATCTCTGTCATAATTCAGAGTCTCTTCACCCCTGCTCGGCTGCGGCCTTTGCAGCTAACCGCTCCCGTTTCTCCTCCTCTACCCTCTCTCTTGTCTCCTTCTCTCTCTGGATCAGCTGCTTCTTTTCAGATTCCCATCCCTGCATCCGTTTCTCATACTGCTCCAAGTCCAGTTTCTCCGCAGCCGACAGGTTCTGCTGGGCCAGAGCGGTGGCTAAAGCCTGAAAAGAGGCCGAGTCCACTTTACCCTGAGACTCCAGCTCGCTCCTCAGTTCCTGAAGAAAAAACAGAACAGAAAGATGTTAAAAACACCCAAATGTTGCCTCATCCCTTCATATGCATAACTCTGAGTATTAACTATCAGTGAATTCTCTTTTCAGTACATTGCAAACTGCTTCAGCTGCTCTGAAAACATTCCTTAATTCCCATGAGAGACTGATTATCTGGAGTTCAGTCTGTAAAAACACTGAACTGGATGTTCTGATTAAGAAATCTGAGAGCACAGACTTCATTTTATAATTTTATAAATGAATGAAGCCAATAAAACGGTTTGATTCACATGGTTTCTTTTGCTGTCTTAATCTCAGTTACTACATGCCTCGTCCTAAATGAAGTCAAACCCCAAATTTTAAAGTACAGACAGAATTGATGTCAAGTTTTTGAACATAATTCAGCCATGGAGAAATTTTGTGATTCCAGGTAATGGAGTTATTCTTGTTTGCTGACCAACAGGAGGCAGCAACACATCCAAAATTCATACAAAAACAAACTTTCACAGAAAAAAGGCAGGCAGCAGTCTACCAAAAACAAAGGAGTCTCAGAGTTTTGGAGTTGTCGGAGTTTTGAATGAAAACTTGGTTCACTGAATTAACTCCACGGAGCAGCGACTTGAAAACATTTTTTTCATTAAAACAGTGACTTAGATCTTGCAATATTTCATAGCCAAGCTTTTTTTTAATGTATACAGTATATATTTAAACTTTCTAACTCTTTGAGGAGCTCCTTTCTCTTACATACTGAAATCTAAATCTGAACATCCTTATCAGGCGCAGTTTTCTCATGCTTACATTTGAGCCATCACAGGCCGTTTTTTTGGCTGCCAACTGCTGTGGTCTACTGGTGGGAACTTTTTGTACCAATTAATCATCAAGATCCTAAAATGAGCAGCAAAATAAAAGCATAAATATCCCTCCAAATCAGAGCTCAGAGAGTGTTAAGAGTACAGATGGCACCGGCTCTAAATTTACTTTACTTTTCTGGGAACAGAAGGATAGTTCAATATAATATAAAACAAGTCTATTTGCTTTTGGTCAAGTAAACTTTGGCTATTTTCTCACCACACAAAGAAAGCTAAAGCTACTTTCAGTCTTGATTTTAATTAATTTTAAGAAGTTCAACTTTGAGATAGTTTAAGTCAGTGTTTTTCAACCAGTGTCCCATGACAGATAGTCAGGTGTACCCTGAGAAATTATCCAATTTCACTTTATTGGTCTATTTTTTTAATAACTTATTATCTGCAAATAATATGCAATTCTCAAGTGTCTGTGCTTTAACCTACAGCTCCAGGTTTCACACATGGTGAGTATGAATAGACTGAGAGACTATATTGTCACTGTATAAACTGTATTTGGGGCTACCAAATGTCTTTTGGTAACATTTTGGTTAGTGGTGCGCCTCGTGATTTTTTTTTTATCAAAAAATGAAACCATGACTCAAAAAAGGTTGGTAAACACTGGTTTAAGTAATGGGCACATAACATCCCTGTAACAAGAGCAACTAACCTGCAACTGCACATGTGAGAGGCTTAAGAGAGATGCTGTACATCTACCGATCACTCTGAACTAAATGCCTTAAAAAGGTGACAGCACCTGATGTCCTACTAAGTTCTGTACCAGTGTGTCAAAAATATTAAAAGGCCTTCTTTAAAATGTGTTTTTGAGGATTTCCATGATTCACACGGATCACTTCACCAAGAGGAAAAATCCATGAGAACCACATCCCTGCAGTTTACTGAAAATAACCTCCAATATTCATCCCTTCAAGACTTCACTCTAAAACATCTGTGTTCCAGCCCTACTGGTGAAACACTGTTAATCACATGTTCACAGGTTTGACCTTCTGAAGAAATCAATGTAAACTCAATTGCATCAACAAATAATTGACATCTATAGTACACACACAAAAAAAAAAAACACTCACCTTGAATCTGCTGACATACTGAGGTAGCTTATCCTTCTCGGCTTGATCATCTTCATCCACTTCCTCTACTTTCTTGTCCTCTTCACTTCCTGACTCTTCTCCAGATGAGTCTGTGTCCGAGGATGATGAGAGCTCCTGCAGCAAGTCGTTCACATGATCCAGCTGAGGAAGATTACAAATTAAGCGTTAGTAAACTCAAAGATTGGTAATTGTTTGAAAAATCAATATGAAATACTGATTAGAAACGGCTGTTAAAGGAATATTCCGGCAATAATTTAAGGTAAAACACACCGTAACACCGTGTTAGACACCCCCTCGAGAGATGAATGTTGCTGACCGCTTGCTTCTCTAGTTATACCAACTTTAGTAACAACCACACGATAGCAATACACAGCAGTCTGAGGCGCCACACACAAACCTCAACCAAAACGCCACTCTACAGCCACAGATAATGCTCAGAACAGCACCTAACTTCATCAACAGTACATATAGGGTCCCAGCCATAGTACTAGCCATCAAACAAACACACCAAATTTCTTTAGCAAAGAGACTAAACATAACTCACCTACTCTCTTCCAGCAGCCGCTTGTTTGTAGCAAGACCTTGGGCCAGTCCATTACAGTCTGCTGCGGGGTGACGCAGATCAAGCTTTATAATTTCCTTGAAGTAATAATCACCATAATAATCATTTTGCACTGCAGACGCGGTAGTTCTTCTGCCTTAGCGTCTCAATCTGATTCTATTTCCATGAAGAAATTATCGTAAATGTTCTTCCTTGAGCTGCGTCACCCTGCAGCAGTCCGTAATGAACTGGTCTGAGGTCTCCGTACAAACAAGCGGCTGCTGGAAGAGAGTAGGTGAGCTGTGTTTAGTCTCTTAGTTAAAGAAATCAGGCAAATCTAAAAAGATGTTTGATGGCGAGTACTATATGTACTGTTGATGAAGTTAGGTGCTTTTCTGAGCATTATTTGTGGCTATAGAGTGGCTTTTTGGTTGAGGTTTGTGTGTGTCTCCTTAAACTGCTGTGTATTGCTGTTGTGCGGTCATTACTAAAGTTGGTATAACAGGAGAAACAAGCAGTCGACAACAGTCATCTCTCGAGGGGGTGTCTAACTCAGTGTTACAGTGTGTTTGACCCTAAATTAATTTTACGTTGGAATATCCCTTTAATGCTTCAAAAATGTGTATTATATACAATCAACCAAGTTAAAGTTAGACTTTTGAAAGCTTTTACGGTTTTTCAGAAATTCAGAATCTAACGTAAAACAGACGCGTGTGATGAAGTGGCTGATTACCCCACTTGTCAACTCACCTTTAAATCTTAGGAGGTGGTGAGATTAACTGTCACCTGAGGCAGCAGTCACCGGCACATTGATCTGAGATGTAATATTTCCTCTCTATCCTGCGGTGTTATCTGCTCTGGCTACATTATTGCGGTGCCGCTGTCTGACACAGGCCGGCTCGGTTCCTGTTCCAGTGATTCTCACAGACATCCTCAGCGCTCCAGGCTCTTCAGAATCTCATTAGACGCAGACAAAGCTGAACTATTAAACCGGACGGTGTAGACCAGAATATAAGCGCTACACCCGACTGTGTGTTAATGCACACATTTGAAAATAACAAGAACATGACAGCGAGCATGTTTCATCTCAGCTGATGAAGACTGTGTGCGTCATAAACCCCACCTGGATAATAACAGGAGCCTCTTTTCAGTCTTTGTGTAGCGCCGTGATGTTAATATTGCTGCTGGGTTTCTATGCAATATTTTAGACTCTGCAACATTCACTTGTAAACACAGACTACAGGGAAATCCTCCAGCAGCGGTCAAACAGTTTTGGAAATATGTTTGTCTGACACTGACGCATTGGGGTCCCCAGAAGTGCAGTAAGAAATGCAGTCTGGCTGGACTTGTTTGTTTGTTTTTCTACAGCTTATCTCGTACTTGTAATATCAGAGTTGTGTCGTGTTGCAGTTTATTTTCTCTAGATAAGGTAGTACTTGATTTACCGCGGGGCAAATTGTTGATAACATGATGATGGTAATTTAAGCACCCTGGCAAAGTGCAGCATGTGAGAAGTGGCAGCTGCATTTCTGAGCTCACACACTCTACAGCTGAATAACCTCATCAGTCAAACCAGTGTCAAAGGTGAAATAACAGGGACGCTGTTTTTACTGTTCTCATTTTTATGTTTGCATAGTTATCTACTTGGCTTTACTTCTCTCTGTTTATACTTTGTGAGTGACAGCGCAGTTACTAACAGCTGTTGCAGCTGCATCCATGAAACACTGAAAATGCGGGCTAGTATTGCAGGTCTCATTCATAAAATGAAAAGTCGATGACTTTTTAGAGATTTGAGTCTCTTTAGCTCATCAGTGGTCAAACATCAGAGGTCTCAAAGCCCAAGGTAGGTTGAACAAAGCTACAGGCAAACAGTATTGAGCTTCAGCTTACATAAAATGGGCTCTATTATTGGTTCAGCAGAGAGGGTCTGTCAAACCAGAGGGAAGCACATCTTCTACATACCTCAAAGACATACTGTATATGGTTCATGATTTGTTATCATTATTTGAAATATGATGTTTATTCTTTCACTTATTACACTGAGTGGCTTAAGCTAGATGATCTAATCATCAAATCTGAAACTCATGTTCAATATTTGTACGAGCAACTCACAAGGATCACCAACTCGTTGCACACTGTTGCAGTAAATATGCATACTTTATATATATATATATATATATATATTTCGATGATTCCTCTGGGATGTTTGGTTCTTCTTACCGTGTCTTTGGACAGCTTAACGTCACCAGAAGCAGCAGCCACCGTCTCCATAACAGCCAGCGCTCGGCCAACATACCCATGACCCCAGAAGAGAGGCATCCCTTTAAACACTGCGTGTATTCCCTGTGACATCTCAAGTTTACCTGAAGGAGAAATATAACATAATCAAGTCGCAGCACAAATCTAGGAGGGGAAAAAGCACTGATTTGATCGATCCCTGTATCATAGAAAGAAATACAAAATGACAAACCTAGGAAGGCATTGCCAAGCAGCTGGGCGCTGAAGCCAACAGTGTTGTCTTGCTTCAACCCACAGAGAAGTAGAGATGCTCCCAGTGCCCGCTCCTCTGACCCCTAAACACAACAGGGATCAACTTTTATTCAAAAGCACATTTGTTATTTTTTCTGCATCATTCACATGCTCATCAGTTAAAGCAATTCATCAGTCATCAGTGTGGTAAACATGATGTTTTTCAAAGCCTGGGGACATTCTCGTGTAATTTGGTTCCGAAAACTCCCACAGTATGTAGCTGCAGCTGTTTCACTTACAGTGAGTTGTGGTTTGGTTGCCAGGTAACTGCTCAGAGCGTACAGAGACAGGAACTGTGTGGAGGGGAGGTCAAAGGCTTCCTGGAGCATCACCTCCTCAACTACAGAGCATGCACCTGTCCAGGTAAAACACAAACATGAAATCAATCAATCACTTTTACTTCACACAGTCATACTGTCTTTCTTTCTTTAATGTCTGCAACCATTTCAAATCTAAGTGACAGTCTGAGATTGTGTAAGAATCACAAAGTCATCCCCTATTCACTACTCCCTACACAGTGAGTCGGTTTTGGACACAGCCAAAACTAAAATAAAAGTTTTTTTTTTTACTTCATTTTTTATCAAATTTTAACCAAAACAATACAGTATATAAATCTCAATACATTTCTTTTCCTTTTACCTGCTGTATGTGTCTTTTTACAAACATAATGTAGGATTAAATCAAAGAGAATAATCATAGTAATGATCGCAAATAAACAATGTCCACTCCAAAGTACAGATTTAAAGGCACTTATTCTAGTCAGAGGCAGGATGACAGTATTTTGATATTGTGATATATGAGGGAGGTTCTGGTTTCAACTATCTGATGGTTATAGACTTCAAGGCAGCAGTCAATGATGTGTTCAAGATGTATTTTTCTGACCTCCTGTCCAATAATTCACTTTTTTAAAAAGGCACCTCCTCCAAGTAGAAAGATTAAGTTACACAATAAATAAGAAAAAGAAAATAAATAAATAAAAAAAACCACAAAATAAAGGATGGAGAAGTTAAAGAAGAATAGAAAGAAGAAAAAAACTTGTGTTTAACTTACTGCGATTCATGAAACAGGGGAATTCAATCATTATGATTTTTTTGGTTTTGGTTAGCATGAGACAGCATTTGTTTTATTGCTTTTCTTTATACGATATACTGTTGTTTTATTTTTTATGTTATTATGTACAGCACTTTGTGTCAGCTTTGGTTGTATTTAAAGTGCTCTTTAAATAAAGTTGAGTTGGTCTCTATTCCTCCTGTCTTCATGAAACAGCAGATGAAACTTGTTATGTGATCTTCTGCTAAAAACTGAAGTTCTTTTCATTTTTCTCTCCAAACAGTTTGAGAGTGAATTGTGAAGACGCCTTACCTTTGAAGTCTTCATCCTTAATGAAAGAATCAATGAGCAGGTTGAAGGTAAAGTCATCGGGGAATATCCCGTACTGGACCTGCACACAAACAAGCACACACACATGCACAAACACACACATGCGTGCACAGGTTTAGGACATTTAGCTCTTGACCCATCTCTCTCATGTAACCTGTTATCTCACGGTAACATGACACCAATCAAAACAACAACAGATGTGCTCACACTGGAGTGCCTCTCTAGCTCATGCTCTTATCTACTTTATTATATTTCAGTGACGCTAATTGCCAAATAGTGTTATTCACTTAAGCAGAGTTCAAAAGCTTAGATGAAATGCTCAAACATGTTTGACTTATTTATACTGCTCAGATCAGTTCCAATATTCTGCTGGCTGCTTCATTCACATTTATGAATACAGAGGTCAATAACATCAGTGTCCAGACTGTTTCACGAGGAGTAAATGGAGGGATTTACATAAACTTACCTTGTTTTTAAGTGTGTAAAGAGCCTTATCTCTCGCCCCATATTTGAAACACTGTCGGATCCAATCATGAACGGTCCAGTCTCTTAAGTACCAGCAGTTTGGACTGTGACGAAACCTGGAGAGGTTAAAAACAAAGGCATTTATGCATCTTTCACATTTTGATTTTTTAGTGTGCAGGACAAAAAGAAGATTAGACCAACAGAAGAGCAACACCAAATGTGACAGATGCATCCTAAAAGTTACAAATAGCTTCAATAAAAAAACAGACAAAATGTAGGTCAAATTAAACTAAATTTATAAACTTTAATCAAATGATCGGCAGTCTTATAATTCTCATCAGGTTAAGATAACAAATGTGCTTTCAGGGGAATTTACTAAATATTGTAAATTACAAGAATTGGTGCAGATTCCAGAGGAAGGAGTAAACAGGAAAGGTCTGGAGTTGCCCCGGACAAAGAAAAGCATGCAACTGACAATGAACCAAAACCAAAACAGACAAACCAAACAGACAAGTCATTCCAGTAAAAAAAGGTGCAACACAAAAAAAGAACCCAGGAAACAACAGAAACTCTGAAAAAAAGGCTATACAGATGAAGAGAGTGATGCAGAAAACCTGAATCATCTTACTTGTAGAGGTAGTACTCTGTCTGTTCGACTTCCTCTCGCGATGAAATGTTGTCAACAAACTGAAAACATAAATAGTATCCTAAATTAAACCTTAACTTCAATTTAATATACACTCAATGGCTGTAACAAACAAAGAACAGAGAGTTTAAATCAACACAACTCACCCGAGATACAGAGAGAGAGCTGACAGGGAGATTCCTCTCATATGTTTGGTCCATGGCGGTTGCCAATAAGGCTGTAATTTTCAGAGATGAACTGTTATACAATCTTTTATATAAAAACAAAAATCAACCTTTCTTTTATTTATTCAGTTTCAATGTAATAAACTAAACAACTAAAAACAACCAAACACAATGATTGTTACACACTGACTTTTGCTGATGATACTGATTTAAAATGTTTTCAACTTTTGTCTTTCTTTCTTTAGACTTTTTCCTTACTTTATTAACCGCTGCTGTGCTGTCCTACCCACACTATTGAACAGTTCATGGTAAAGGCACCATGATGCTGCAGTGTGATGCTGCCACCCTGTGTTGACTAACTGCACCAAGTAACCTTCACTGTTGTTCTCCTGCTTGCTGCTTATTGATGCACTAAATTTATTTTTACAGTTACACAGTGTGTGTCAGATTATTTTAAAATTAATTTCTCAATCACATGTCAATGTCAATGTCAGCTTTATTTATATAGCACATTTAAAAACAGCCAGTGGCCTACCAAAGTGCTTTACAGTAAAAAAGTCAGAAACAATAAAAAACTATTAAAACAATAGAAGCATAAACCATATAAAAACATAAAACAACAATATAGATAAACATAGTAATTAAATAAAATACCCGATAAAAGTAGCTATATTTCCCCAAAAGCCGAAGTGAACAGGTGCGTCTTCAGAAGTGTTTTAAAAGTGGAAAGGCTGTTAGCAGTGCGCACTGTCAGGGGTAAAATATTCCACTCCAAAGTGGGAGCCACGACAGAAAACGCTCGATCTACCCTAGATTTTAAAAAGGATCGAGGAACGTCTAAAACCACCTGGTTAGCTGATCTCAGGGCTCTGGAGGGCTGACGCAATTTAACAAGGTAAGACTGATATTCCAGGGCCAGCCCATTCAGAGACTTAAAAACAAATAAAAGAATCTTAAAATCGATCCTGCAGCATTTTGGATGAGCTGCAAGCGGTTGAGCTCTGATTTGCCAATGCCGACATACAGGGAATTACTGTAATCTAAACGAGCTGTAATAAAAGCATGGATAACTTTTTCAAGGTCCTTCTGGCTTAAATAGGATTTCACTTTTGCGAGAAGCTGAAAAAAGCTCGATTTGACCACTGCGCTGACCTGTTTGTCAAGTTTAAAATCACCATCCAAAATAAAACCAAGATTCCTGGCATAGGATCCTATATAAGGTGCCTTTAATTGAGCTATCTTTAATGGAGTCTTTTTGTGTATCCTTTCATTATCTTTAATTCATTGATAACTCTAAAAAACAGTTAAATATGTGGTGAATTATCCAACATATATTAAAGCTCTGTATTTTATTGATAACTAAAATAATTTTTTTTACATTTTAATCTGCGGCTCATATGACTGTCTAAGTGTTAATTTCTTGGTATCATATCAAGGGAAAGCCCTATCTGACATATATGTGTGAATACCATCAACTTGACTCTAATATATATTATATTTCCTTTATTTGTCAGGTCAGGGTCCAATAAAATGTGACCTTTTCTATCAAAATAGCAGACTTAAATCTTACCCAGGTTGTGAGGATCTCTCCCTCTGGCTTCCCATAGTTTGGTGTCTGTGTAAGATGCTGAAAGTAACCATCTCCTGGCTGCAGAAACACACAGTAAATCAGGTCATGGAGATAAACACACAGTATTAACAGTCATGTGTTCATGTAGCTGACATCTTAAGCTACACACAGTTAGCGCTAGCTAATGACATTATAAGGGGAGAACTTGGCTCCAGAGGTCAAATAAGAACCAAAAAATAAAGGATTAAGAGACAAACTGGAGCGTAGAGGAATATTATTCAATAAAAGTCAGATTTAACAAGTGCTCACCCAAAAGAGAAGGAGATAGATGTTTAACTTTGACAGCAGCAGTCACACACCGCTTCCACACGGAGGCTGCCATATTTGGTCGATACCATTTCTCGAACTGCGCAGGGGGGTTTACATTACAGACGTAAGAGGGCTATACCAAGAACGAGTGAAGGGAAATCTAACGGACGATGAAGTTTATTCAACTTTATGGAGAAAACAGAAAAAATAAGAAAAAGTAAAACACAAGATGCAGTAAATTTATCATAAATTAAATATATTTACTCAGGGTTGATATATCACAAACTCCCTTTATGTCTTTTACGGTCTTTTTATGACCTTTATTTCTTTTGTGCTTTTGTGTTTTTATTTCATTTATTTTATTTTATTTTGGCTGTTTTTTCCTGTTTTAATTTGATGTTTTCTGCATTGTCTGGTTTTTACTTTGGTAAATTTGAATGTTTTTTAAAATGTGCAATATAAATAAAGTGGATTGGATTGGATTAGAAACTGAGTGAGATCAAAGTGAGCAACAACATTTTTTCGCTCAACAATTAAATCTTTTTTATGATAAAGAGTTTGTTAAATGTTGACCAGTCGTTTCACAAAGTTGTAGTGTGATTGATTACCATTAAATCATTAATACGAAAGTTGCATATTAGTTGGCTAAGGCAGATTATAATTTTTCTGGCCAGAGCCGGCCCAAGGCATAAGCGAATTTACCCCCCCCCCCCCCCCCAACAGCAATCAGAAATAAATAAATAAGTAAAAAAATAAAAAATATATTTTTTATATTTTGCATGTATGAGTGATGTTTTCTGTATGATCAAATATATATGATTGTAAAAATAACATAAAATACGGTAAAAACATTTTAGTGCTGCTGCTGATGTAGGCCTATGATTCTTATTGCCGATATTTCAAAGCTCTGCTACCGTTATGTGCCCTTTGCTGTGCAGTGTGCACTGAGCTCCCAAAGCGCAGGTAGTTGTGGGGCAAAACAATGTCACAAAAAAGGACATATCCTTCAGGAGCAGAGAAAAGAAAGAGGAAGAAGAGAAAAAAACACTAAGATAAAGGTATGTTTGCATGTCATGGAATGTTAATCAAAGAGATTTGTGAAAGCGTGTGCATGATCAACGATCAATATTATTGGCAGAAATAGAGGGCCCCCAAATCAAATTTTGCTTAGGGCCCCTCTAGTTCAGCAGCAATGTGCTCCTGAAATAAAACACAGGAAAAATCTTTTGAGCGGCCTAAATAAAGAAACTAACAAACTTTCATATGACAAAACCAAACGAGTACACTAGAGGGCAGTGTTTATGTAAAGAGGGGATGGACCAGATTAAAATAATTAATTATTAGAGGTGCTGCAGCTTCCCTTTGTGTCACTGCTGCTCAAAGTCATTCCAGGTCTTGGCGTTAGTTACTCAGCATCATGTAAAAGTGCTGCATATAGATTTTTTTAGATATGTTCATTACATACAGCAATCATTCAAGTGGTAAAGCAACCTAAAAAAATAAAACAGGACATTTGACAGCACCCTAAACTGGCAGCAGGGAGTTTTATCTTTTACATGTGTATTTGGACCTTAACTTGATGTCTCCTTTCACTTCTCATTGTTTTCATGTTTTCATTCAGGTATTTATTTGTTTATTTACAGGAAAGCTTTTATAACAGCAAGCCTCTTGGCTACAGGTCATAGGAGGTGACAGGTTGAGACTCGGGTGGGACACTTTAGTTAAACAAAACGTGGAAGAATTTTAGCACCATCTCATTTTCTCTTTTGCCAGCAAAACAGGAAGCTCCAGCCCAAGCTGCACTAGAGAGAACGGCAGGAAGTAAACATTTCTACTCTCACAAGTGGGGATGCAACTGTCTTTTCAGGAATAAAAATGTGAAATGATAGAGGTTTTTATGCCTTTCTGGCCTAATATACATATAAATCTTTTGCAACAGTCCTGTTCCATCTTGTTGGACATTAGATAGAAACTAAATCCAGCAAAAGTCAATTTTAAATGGAGCATATTCCTGCACTATTCTGCTTGCCAAGAGATGCAAAAAGGACCAGTGTGTTCTTTACATGCATCTTCTTTCTTCCTGCGGCAGCACCACAAAGACATCAAGATCTGCGATGATACTCAAGATAAAAGAGCATCTAAGATTTTTTTTTTTACAAGACGAGCCTTTTTCCCCTTCTTAAACTATTTGATGAACAATCAGACATCATCACATAGTCAATAATATGAGAGCACTTACATGATGGCAGTCATCATCATTCGAGTTCTACCTAAGTACAAACTTAACATCTGGTGGGAGATTAGAAAATGAAGAAAGATGGGAAATGTTAAAAAATCTCATAATCAAACTAACATCCAATGAGAGAAACAATAAAATGACAAAGGTATGTTGTGATATTGGTCTGAAAGGAAAGTTGTGAAACACAATGTCATATCCAGTATGTCTGCCAACTGTGTGATTTAAAAAGACTCAAAAACTGTTTTAATTCTTGCTTCAACATTTTTAACATCCTTTCATTGGTGGTTTTCTTTGTCTCTGTATCTATTGTTTATCTGGCTCTGGGCATAAAAGATTACGATATTAAAATCATCTGTTATAATGCAGATGAACTTGTTTGCTTTTAAATATCATAAAAAGGCATCAATAGTTTATTTCATAAATGAAAAGAAAACTCCTTATAGGAGCTTTAATAGTTTCAACTTCAGTGGGTGCTGTGGGCTTGATGATCATTTACAGATAAGACAGAGCACCAATGAAATAATGGCAATTAGCAACCAGGTGGAAGTTCTTATTTTGAATGATGCTACCTTTTAAACATTACACACTTTGAAAATCAGAGTTATATGTCCATGAGGAGCAACCTAAAGGTAGTTTTGCATTAACATTTCAGGGAACTTGTTGCCATGGATATTAAACATCTACTTTATTTCAGTTTTTCCTTCACTCACTCTCTGTAAAGTGTTGTAAGATTCATAAATCATAAATCCGGTGTTGATTTGTGTGTTGGTTGCATTGTAAAAGCAGAACACTAAGTAAGAGCCTCTCTAACCACAGGACTGAATTTCCCATAAGGAGACTACCTGTTCCTTTTACCTGTTCTCCTGTGTGTCTGTCTGCTCTGTAGATTCTCATGGTTTTAAAGTTTCACTTCATCAAAAATAAACAGAACAATAGAAAAGATCACACTTTATGAGAGCTCTGAGGTTGCAGCAGTATTGGACATGTTAATCCTGAGAGATTCAACAATACCATGCAATATAATCTTTAAAGATTTTTTACATTTTTTTTTACTATTATAAGTGTTATTTTAATCTGTCTTAAATCAAAATTTTTCACTTTTTTCACTTATTACATTTTTATCATTATACATTTACCTTGGTGTAAAAGCATTTAACTATTTCACTGCCAGTCTTGTGTACTTAGTGTGTATTTAGTGTGACATGTTTCATTAGTGTTATGATTATGTTTTCTACTTTTATCCTTATTTTTTTTGTAATATTCTTTGGTTTTTAAATCGACTTTGGTATGCAGGAGTTTCTGCATTAATCTTGAACACAATCTTTTAACATCATGACTACCATATAAAGGATATTTTGTCAAGTGCTTGTGAAGTTCAAAGTTCTTGAAGCAGCTTAGATTGATCTGATTTGTTGAAAGAAGCTGTACTGATAAATGCATTTGTTTGATTGGCTGATTCCTGCCATCAAATCGACTCTGAGTCCCTTCTCTGAGCCAGCGGTTGGGACCGAAGCGTGTAGGTGAGGAAAGGAAAGGAGAGGAGGATGTGAGAACTTCCTCAAAATGTTTGCAGTTTCGCCCTTTAGGACACGGTGGTCTTCACTGATAGAAAAAGAGAAGCTGCTGTTCTGCATTTGATCGGACAAGAAATGACTCACCATTTACCTGAACTGGCATAACCAAGGGAGGTGAAAGCACAATGTGGTGAATTTGACACAATTCTGACACGGTAGATGCCATCATGATCTTTTGCTGCATTTCTTGTCAATAGTTGGGAGATACATGTGTGATATCATGCTCTGTCTATTGTGCATCTTCCTTTACTGGAATAATTTAAAAAAACTTTTCAGGCACTCTTAATTCCTGTGGCGTTTTTGTTTTCAGAAGGGCTTCTGCAATGAGGAGAAACAATGCTTCATTCTGAGTCACACAGACACATGAAGCCTTTGTCTGGGACACCCACTGTGTCCGTCACCGCTGTTTGATCACAACCTAAAAGAGAGAAGGGGAGAGGTGTTTTCTCTTCCTCTTCCTCTACTTTGAAAGAGAAGCAGGAGGAGAAAAGCAAGGTTTTTGAAACTCACGGCAATCATCCCCTGCCTAGGTAAAAAAACAAGTCTGCGTCAGAAAGAGGGGATTAAAATTCATTATCAGGGCTTATTTTCTTTCAAAGCAGCCAGAAGGCGGTTTAAAAACATATCAGGAGCTTATTGTAAAGGTTCATGCATTTCAGCCTTTATTTAGCAGTTTGTTGTTGTCCACCATTACACAGCAAGAGTTTACACCATCCTCCAAAGACTGCGCAAACCAAGGTTTAAAAAAATCTCAACATTTAAAAAGTTTCAGTTTCTCAAATAAATCCAACCAACACAAAGAAAAAGTAGAAAATCTTTCCAAAACATACACAGCAGATTAAGTAATAGCACATTTTTCCTTTCATATCATAAACATACATTAAAGACAAGAGTAAGTTAAAAGAAAATTACATTTCTGATCAATATTACTTTTATTTTCTGAAAAATTAAATATTTATTTTCATTTTATGTACAAAAAAGCCTAACTATGCTGCATATTTACTAATCAGTGTGTTTTTGAACACATATATGATATGTTTTCTACATGCAGAATGCTTCACAGCTTTATATGTCAGTAACTTGTGCATCATGAGCAAATATGATATGTTTTGATTATTTCTGGCTAAAATAATACAGCACTTCCTCCACAAACAGTTGGAGAAATCTCACACTTTCCTCTCCCTCTATCAGTAAGACTTGCCTCAAACATAAATCTTCTTTAAACCCTGCTCTAGGTCCGACTATTCAAAAGACGTCATTTGAATAAGAAAGTACAGATTCGGAAACGCACTTTTCCGATACAGAATCAAGTAATGTAGCTTACTTCTGACTTGCTTTTTTAAGAAAGACTGGATAAGATCACAACAACTCAAACTGGAGGTTTTACCTGGATCAAAACAAAAACATGATCAGTTTTTTTTTCCCTGTAAGACAAGCCGCTCCTAAAATTTTAGCAAGTCAAGTAGCTTCAATCTGATCAGATTACTTTTAAAACAGCCCTGAAACTTTATTACTGTTTGGCGTCTTCTCCCTCATCATCTTGTGCATATCTTTCTCTCATTAATTCACTTGTTTCTGATTGGCTCTGGTTCGTCCCGCCCTCACTGTTCTCTTCGCCACAAAAATCATCAATCTGCTGCTCGCTTTCTTCTTCCTCGTCTAGCTCTTGGTGAACATCTAACTCTGAATCTGAGTCAGAATCATACAACCGGGCGCAGTCTGTGTCATGGTCATCTCCCATCTCTGATTCAGAGTCATAAACCATCTCAGGATTCTCCTCTGACTCTAAGAGGTGTACCTGCTCACCTCTGGGACCTACAGAGTGTCTCCCTGCCTCTGACTCTTTCTCATACATCTCTTCATCTAAACTATCCTGATACATTTGCTTCTGCTTCTCCTCTTGTCTTCTTTCACCCAGAGACCCCTGACTTCTCTCCTCCAGCTCTGGGTACCGGTCCCTGCGTGTTGGTTCCTGTTGGTCCACCTCAGGGCTGTACGGGCTCCTCCTGTACAAACTCTCCTCATCCTCCTCCTGGCAAGAGCTTCCAGGGACACTCTCGCCATCGGACTGTGACAGACGGAGGCTGGGGAGGCCTGGAGGCTTTTGAGAGAGGTCAAAGGGCTCCTCCTGGCTGAAGCGGGTGAGGAGGCCCATTGGAGAGGATAAGCAGTATCGCCCTCTTTGCCTGAACACTGTAGTTACAGAAAAAATCGCATCAAACATCAACTCAAGCTTAAAGTAGGAATAGTGCATGGTAAATATGTGCAAGCTTACATCTTTCATCCAGCCCTCTGTCCATGACGCCATGTTTGACTTTCATGTGTCTGGTAAGATTTCCCTTCAGTGTAAACTTGCTCGGGCAGTAAAGGCATTTGAAGGGTTTGCTGTCTGAATGGAGATGCATATGGCCCATTAAGTTGTGCATCCTGTTGAACTCTTTTCCACAAAGCTGCAAAAACAAAGAAGAGAATCGTGCAAGTGGGTGAGAGACCATACAAGACAATACAAGACAATACAAACACCAAACTATATCAGAGACGGGCATGCCCACAGTTGAATGAAAGGGTCAGGCATGTTTATTTCTGCTGTAAAGATAAGCATTTTCACATGGATGTTCATTGGGTGTCCTGGACTTTGGGGACAGCCCCTAGTGGACGCCCAAGGGACTGCAAGGTTTAGCATTTACTCACTGGCTTCATTTATTTCATATCAAAAGTTACCACTTGGTGTTGACTCACTTTTTGAGTCTGCTATAAAAAGAAGTTCAGGGTACAGCAGGTTCTGCCTCTTCAGATTTCAGAAATGGCAACATGTTCACAAGAGGTTGTTTTACCTTTCTGTGGTCTATTTCCTCCTAATTTGGATATAATTCAGTGACCGTTGAGCCTCTACTGATAGATCCATAACCAGGAAGTATTTCTCATCTACACAAACTCATACACAGTCGGGAGTCCTTGTATGGTGTTTTATTTTGAAATTTACCAGATGGCATGCCCGGTTTTCGTGCTTGACTTCCTGTCTAGAACGATCTTCTCTGTGTGGATTGATGAGTGTTGGTTGCATAGAGCAGCAAAAATAGACTTGGCGTGAATCTTTAGCAGAGCCGCGCTTGACGCGCTTCCCATATGGAACTGCGATGCGTCCTGTATGCGATGCTGCATCGATTAGAATGGCAGCCTGTTTGCTGCGTGACACGCAGCGCTGATGGAACACGCTTAAAAAGAATCCTGTATATTTTAGCCATAGACTGTATATACTAAGGACAACTTGGTTTCACCTTCCACCAGTAAACGGTTTTGAAGCCGAAAAGCTCAAGGTATTTCCATGATTTTTCTCTGTTTCTAGAAACCAACATTGCGCAGTAGCGTTGTAAGCACTCGGTGGGAGAGTCGCCGAGAGTCACTGCGATGACGCTCGGCTCAAACAGCGTATCCCCTGTGAGTGAGCTACGCACCCTTACTTATAGGATATAGGAACTTGTTAGAGCCCCCCTAACACTTAACACATACCACATAAATAAGATCCACCACTTTAACTTTTTTGATTTATTTTCTTACTTGAAACAAGGTAGCTTTTCACTCTGTTTCTAGTGATTTGGCTAAGCTAAGCTAAGCTAAGCCTTCAAGCAGGATCAAGCTTCTAGTGACAATTATAGCAGCTAATAAAGTCAAAGTTTTGGGGGAAAGCCCTTCTGATTGTTTGATAAAAAAACATTTTAGAAAATCTTAAAGTCTATACAAGTTCAGAGAAATGATCCGATTTTTTGCGTTGTAGCTCAACCTGAAAATGATCAAATGACTTCAGCTGTCATATAGCTGAAAAAGAAGAAACTCCAATGCTCCTGCTAAGGCCCCTAAGTGCAGTAAACAATAATGAACAGTGCTGTCAGCAGGTGATACAGCCTAAACTGAATGACTGTCAGCAGGTAATACAGCCTAAACTGAATGACTTTAGTAAAAAAAATCTATTCGAGGAAAAAGAAACAATAGCCTTAAACAATACACCTCTGTTTTTTTTTCTTTTCTGCGAAAAAACTCCTAGTTGGTGACTAATTTTCAGAGAATGCTGAGTTGTAGCGAAACGTAATCATGAATGAATGTGCAGGCATTGAGATATGCATAGGCACACACCCTTCCACCCTCCTTCTATCCTTGTTTTCCTCTTTTCCTCTTTGTCTCCCCCCCTCTTACTCCCTGACCCACACGCAAGAAAAACAGAGAGAGAAAGGAAGCAACATGGAGACAGAGCCAGGAGGAGAACAGGGAAGGGCTACTCCTGTGCTGTCCTTCCTCTGCATTCTTTTTTATTAGGGTGGTCCTTTCCTTCAGGAGGAGAGAGGGACTGTAAACTGTCCAAGAGGACCGTGAGAAAACAGGAAGCTCCCTCCAGCAGCAGAGAAAGCGAGATGAAATCTATTTGAGGGCCCTGTTCTCCGGGGAGGCTGGCGGGCCATTGTTAGAGAGGCAGTTTGTGCGGCGATATCCTTCCTATGGGCGAGGAGGGTCCTACTGCCAAAAAGCCTCTTTGCTATCTGGTCATCGTCTGAGTCTTCATACCAAACACCAAGGTCAAAATAGATGCTTCAGAAGAGCGGGGAGATCCTTAGATAACAGCTAATACCAAGAACAACAGGTTTAGCCTCATCAGTAAAGACTGAGCAAAGGTTACACCTGGAGTTTTGATGCATTCAGCTGAACATCTTAGTTTGGAGAATTAGAGTGATATCTTCCAAAACATGCTAGTTTGGGCCCCACAGTCGGTAAACCTAAGACAAAATCTATTCAGAGTTAGATGAGTGTATTTCCAACTCTACTACTACTAAGTGCAATTAAGAGTACAAGGCTAGGGCTCATACTGTCTCCAAACACCAAACATGAGTAAAATCATTCGCGTGAATCATTCATCATTTGCATGTTAAGTCAATGTAAAGACGTGATTAGACGCTCCAACTACTCTGGTGGTGCGAATGACGCGATTGGGCGAAGTTGAATACGTCTCAACTTGAGCGAGTATTCGCGTCACGATAACTAATCAGCATGAAGGTTACTGGGTGATTTATGACAACGGACAGTGGTTCACTGGTATCGAAAATGGAGGACAAACTGATTGTGTTGGTGTGTGGGTGCCCCGAATTATATGACACCTTTTCTTTCAATTACCGAAACTGGAATAAAAAGAAACTCGCCTGAAGGCAAGTGAGTGAGGAGGTCAGATTCCCTATTAAATTGTAAAAAACGTTTATCTATCACTTGATCCTGCTGGTTGAATTGGCAGGAATTACCGTTGAAGCGCAAATGAAGCGAGTAAATACAATTCATTCAAACGTCAAGATTCGCGCGAAGTAAGCGAGTGGATGATTTTACTCTTGCTTGGTGTGAGCGCCCCAATAGACTTTCTTTCCTTATTTTAACATTTTTACCATTTTATCATTCTATACAGCTCTACATCATGCTCTGGCCAAGGAAGCCTCTCCCTAAAAATGTTAGATTTGTCCTTTAATCAATGATAACCAAGTCCACATCTTTGATAATATGCTGCACCAACCTTGCATTTATAGGGCTTGATGTCAGAGTGAACGATCATGTGCGCCTTCAGGGTTTGTTTCTGGACGAAGCTCTTGAAGCACATGTGGCACTGGTAAGCCCGTATGTTGGTGTGGATGAGGACGTGGCGCTTCATGTTGGCCAACAGGGTGAACTCACGACCGCAGATGCGACACTTGTGCTCCTTCACTCCCTGAAGTACAACAGAATGTGGAAGTGGTGGTGTAAGAAGATAGTGGTTACAAGAGGAGGCTCCTGGGGCTCAAAATTTAGATGAACGTAAACCCCGCTCCTCTGTTCAAGATCCCGAGCATAACAAATGAGTTTATGTCAGAAACAGTGTCTGAAATAGTTCAATTAAACCTATTTTGTTTAACTGTCCATTATATTCACTATCCACAACGTGCTCATAATCTTGGAAACACAATAACTGTGTTTGATGCCAAAAATGGAAAACATTAAGTTCATCCTCCATATGGCACTTACTTTATGAGTGAGTGTGTGCTGTTTCAGGTGGTGTGATTGGATAAACTCCATCCCACACTCACTGCAGATGTACGGTCTGATGTCTTTGTGTTTCATCATGTGATTCTGAAGCTGGCTCGGGTACTGAAAAGTCTTCTGGCACTCTGTGCACCTGCAGGACCAAGAGATGCGGAATAAGAGCTTAACAGAGATAGAACTAATAGGTTGATTTAGTTTAGCATAGCATTTTGGTATATGTTCTTGTTATGATTTTGGGATCATGTTTAAAGCTCCTATGAGAAGTTTTATTTTTGACATTGATGAAACAGACTTAAATTCAAACTAATACATTTTTATGATATCTCAAAGCAAAAAAGACCATCAGTATTCACAATAACTGATATTTGGCAGCCAGAAGTCAGAAGATGCTACTCAAGCATGTAAAGAACAAGATAAGCAATACATGATTTGTCCACAGGGGGCGCCAAAATGGACACAAACAAAGAATTCCTGACAGGAGCTTTAAATTGGAAAATTAACCCTTCACACTGATTTAAGAGATCAAATATAGTCTTTTCTGCTCACCTGTACAGTGTGGGGCCACGATGGACCGTCAGATGCCTCTTCAGCTGGGCCAGCGTTGGGAAATCCAGACCACACTCCACACAAACATTTTCCTGACCTTTCTCATGTTTTAACTCGTGGGCGCGAAGCTCGCTGGGGTACGCGAAACCTCTGCCGCACACACTGCAGCTGTGGAGAGATAAGATGAGGGTGAGGACGAATATTAAGACAGAGTGACATGAGCGATCAAAAGCAGAGTGAGACTTGCTCTACCTGTATGGCTTAACATCGCTGTGCTGCATCATGTGTCTCTTCAGGTGGCTGGTCTGAGTGAAGGCCTTGTGACACACCTGGCACTTGTGCGGCCTCATGCCCTGGTGTGTGAGCAGGTGTGTGTGCAAGTGGCTCAGCTGCTTAAACAGCTTCCCGCACAAATGGCATCCATGCGGCTTGATGCCGTTGTGCCCCAGGATGTGAGTGACCAGATTGTACTTGGAGGTGTAGGACTTCTCACACATACGGCACTTCCACCTCTTCTGGTCTCCACCCACGTCCACATAATAACTGTCATCCACGTGGATGTTCAAACCGAGCTTCTCTGCACTGGTCATCCCACCTTGAGAGGGTCCGTCTCGGACGCGATGCCTTGGATGGAGGTCCTCTCTTGGGTAGAATGAGCCAGGAGAGAGGTGCATGACGGGGCCGGGCATGAACAACGGGTAAGGGAGGAGGCTGTGAGGGAGTGATGGGAAGTAAGGAGGGTGGAGGAGGAGAGGAGAGGGAGGCCAAACAGGGGAGGGGCTGAGAGGTTCCTGTTTCACCTGCACAGGTAGAGTCATACCTGGTGATCTGTGATGGAGCTGCAGTCTGTTCAGCTCGATCATACCAGGGATGAGCTTTGGAGACTGGGAGGAAAGAGGAGGGGATGGGAGGGAGAAAGGATTGTGGGAGAGGTTGACTGTCTTCTTACTGCTGCTTTCCTCATCTTCCTCTGCTCCTCTGTCAGGGGACTCACAGCCCTGCGCGTCCATTTTTAGAGGAGTTCTTTTACGTTTTTGGGATCCTTCCTTTTCTGCATAACCAGGGCCGAGCATGGGAAAGAAAGAAGACGGGCTGAATGCGCTGTAGGTGTCTCTAGTGGGGTATCCAAGAGGGGTGAATTTTGAGGGTTTCATATAGAGGGGAGGTGGGCTTAGGTAGAAACTGTGCCGAGATGCCTGTCTTAGCTGGTCTCTGAAAGGCGGACTTCTTGCTGGTGGGAAATTCACTCTGTCTGTTTCCATTTTCTCTCTGCCTTAAAAAAAAAGAACACATAGTTCAAAGTCTTTAGAGTTTTCAGATGGGTTACTTCATCTAAACGAAGAGAAAGGAAAGTTCCACCTATTTTTAAAACATCCAGGTGTTTTCACAGTCATGGTCAGTACCTCTACTGGACATGTGGAAAAACCTGTAAAAGCCTTTTGTGGCTCCAGAGGGGGCTGTATGCTGTGTACAACCGGTCCAAACAAGAAACAGCATCTAAACCCACCCAATAGTCCGACTCAACTATTGACAGTCTTGCTGCATTGCAGGACATGCAGACAATGCACGAGACAAATGCATGTAAAAAGAAATGATACTTCTGATTCTGAAGCATTAAATTTTCCTTTCTTTGTAAAAAATGTACAGTGCATTACTCCACAACAGCAAAGGTCTGCATTTACCTCAAAACGAGGAATCACTGGTTTAATCTAAGCAACTTTTCATGAACATATTTACAAAATAATTTACAGTGTAAGTCTTTACCTCAGTGGTAACTGATCACAATATCTGCACGATAAGTGGTAGACTTTCCAAATCAAACCCAGCTTCCTCACTTCTTACCTTACCTTCACCTCTTTTTTCTGTTGAATTATACTTGCAGAACCAAATACCCTGAAGGCCCACGAAAAAAACAAAAAACTTTTGACAAAAGTACAACTGATACCTTTGCATCTGGTTTATTTTTTAGTGTGATATGAAACTGCTTCTCTGGGGGTTTTGTAGAAGTAATGTGACTACAGGTAATGTGACTAGGTACACGCTTACAATACTTACATTGTACTACCATCACCCTTGTTTTCTTGTTTAACCTGAAACTTCTCACTTCTTCCTTTCTCACCGATCTTCTCCTCTTCTGAAATTAGGAAGTATCTGTGAATGCTCACCTATACCTCACGCACTCGTTTTGCTTCTCCATGTCTTTTTCTCTCTGCTCTGTTCTTTTTTTTTTTTTTTTTTTACTGATAACCAGGGAGAACTTCCCTTTTTTCTCTTTTACCGATCTTACAGTGATCGTATTGTTTCAACCTGGGTCGATGTGAGCAGCCTAAAGTTTGGGTCGGATTAAAGAAGTGATCAGTGTGTCAGTGTGCATGAGCAGATATCACACAGTTATAAATAACATCTTTGCTGCAGTTTGTGCTCACTTTGGTGCAGATGATGCTCATGGGGGGAAAGGTGGTGAGACTTAGAGGGGAACTGTTGTACTTCTGCATGAATCATGTTTGGTGGTGTCCTACATATCTGCTCTACTACTGTAAATAGTTCAGTGCTTATCATTAAAAAACTGCAGTCGTCCATATCGATCTTATGTTATAGATAGACCGCAAGCTTATCTGTGACAGTTTTTAGGTTTCTGAATATCAGGTTTTGTGTGAAAAAACACAGAGTATACATGCATGAAGGGCTGAAATTTCCAAGTATTTTAATTTTCAACTTTTCCTACGCTTTCACTGTTAATTGAAAGATATCCAATCATCTTAAAATGACAGAATATAATCAAATCCTCTATATAGACAACTTAATTACTAAAAGTACATCTTATTTTCCCGAGCTTCCAACTTCAAACGGATGTTTTCTCCAAAAAAAGGCAAAAAAATCATGATCTTAAAAACGGAATTAGAAAATTTTAGCTATTTTGCTTGAAAAAATGTCTAATGACAAATCAATAATGAACTATTTTGTGTTTATTTATTTATTTATAATCTGAAATTGAACAGAAATTTCAGCTCATTAGTGAGTAGATTTGACTGGTGAGAAAAATAATTGGAAAACAATTGCGACATTTTTATCATTATTAGATTTGTGCACTCAGACAAAAATTGATTGAATCATTTCAAAGAAAACAAGCAGGGATGAGGAAGGATGATGGAGTTAAAGAAGTTTCTGCAATAATGTAGTTTGAGAATGTACGAATCACTCCCTCCAGACAGGAAAAATCACATTAGCAAATCAATAATCAATAGAGAGATGCATCATTTGTTGTTAGTGATGTAAAGAACATAGAAATTCATGCAAAATGTAGAAAAGTTTGAATCTGCCTTTACAAAAGTTTTCACATGTTAGATGCATGCTGACATGTGTAACACCCCCCCTCTCAGATACTTAAAAGGAGCTGTGTCAGTTTTGACCATGTGGCTATAATCCGGGTTTTTACCCTCTCTCACTTAACCTGCACTGTGCAGAGACCCCAGCCTGCGCGTTACCCCTCCATGCATTCCAAACAATCCATTAAAAGTGAAGCCCCTCCTCGCATGCCAGTCAGTGCCATGTAAGCGTGTTTGTGTGAGGCTGCAGCCAAGTGTGTGAGTGTGTGTGTATGTGTGTAACTCACCAGCTGAGTAAAGCAGAGTGTGTTTTCTGTGATGCTGTGGCTGAAGTGCTGCTTCTGCTTCTGCTGCTGTTGTACCTGTACCTGGCTTCTCTCCCTCCTGCTCGCGCTGCAACTCTCCTGACAATGAGCCGCTCGTCCGCGGATAGCATTTGAAGTGACTTAAGAAAGAGAACAGGAACAATCACTTTGTTCTCATTTTTCAGATGAGTACCTTCGGAGAGAAGGAAGGAAGGGAGGGGAGAGGAAGTCAACAAGCCGAGTGCCTTCCTGCAGAAAAATAAGGAAACACTAGATAGACATCTCCATTTCTCTATGAAATAGGGATTTGCAGAACTTTTGGGGGAATGCGGGGATGTATAGATGTGATGTGCAAGAAAACTGTGCAGTTTGAATGTTTTGCTGCTGTCAAGTCACATGCAGTAATGAAGGATGATCACATTCTGTTAAATTTCTTTGAGGATCCAAAACACAAACTGATCAAGAAGTATTCGTGCTACCTTTTCCATGAGTAAAATCTTGTTTTTTTACAGCAATATTAAAAAATTAGTAAGCTTGTTTACAGCTTCAACGATATTTATTTACAGTTCAAGCGGATAAAGCACAAGAATATTGTGGTAATCACGCAAATCATGTGCACAAAAACAAGAAAAACTTCTACTATACCACACAAAAATACAGAACATCTCTGCAACAAAATCTACAACTGTCGACATTTGAAATCCTGCTTTTCTTACTTTTAAGAAATAAATAAAAGAAAGCCTTTTATATACTTTTTAAACTGGATTTTGTTGTGAGTTTGTGCCTTTATTAAAAAAGTTTGTGTCATTATAATTCATGTTGTTTTGCCACTTTCTGCAACACCATCAGAGACTAAAACCGTAACAGAAAACAATAATTGCATTGCATTTTTTCCATATTTAATGTGTTACAACAACCACTAGGAGGCAAGAGTGTTCTGTTTAACCTTGTCAGTCCAGATTACAATGCTGACTGGCAGCAGTATGTCTTCATATAGTGACTTCATCCATGTTTTATGATCCATATATATCAGGCCACGTCTCAATGTCTAACTCTTCCTTTCTTGGCAGAGAAGTTACGCTGTGATGGACTTGCTTTTAATTGAAATGAGGTGGCAGTTAGCAGGTCAGGGGGGAGCTGCCGTAATTGAGCTCATATCATTGAAACAGTGAGGCCGTCTTTATGGGTTGTGGAAGATCATTAGCCACAATAATTAGCTCATAACACCAATCAACCCATGACGTGGACATTGTGTGCATCAATTCCTGCCAGAAATTAAGGACTTTGTGATCAGAAAAGGAAAATTTATAGGTGTGTTTGTGTCTGTTTGGCAACAGTGAGCTTATTATTTACAGGCATCTGGTCTGCCAACAGATTCTCTGAACTACATTTGTGTGCCAAAATGGCGGCTTTGAAGGCCGATGTCGAGTGATGGACTCCTTCCTAGATCAGAAACGGTCATTTTTGTTCTTTCCAATTGATCCGTTGTGCAAAAAGATGCTTAAAAAGAAGGAAATCCTTAAAAGCGTCTTGAGTAAAATCACAGTTGCACCACGCTCATGCTCTCAAACTTAAATCAGTTTAATTTCTCACTCTCTTCTTAACCTCTCTGACTTCTCTGCCCCTTCGTACATGCACAGTCACGCAGCATGAGCCACCTTTTAATGACTCTCAATAGTGAGAAGCAAAGGAGGCCACAGAGCCACCCTGACCTTTGACCTCAGCCAGTCCAGATGGTCATCTTCATCTCCGATGATGACCTAAACTCAAACAGTCTCATTAAGGATCCTTAAGTGGCTTTTTGGTTTTTGTGTCACTCTCTGAAGAAGCTCGGGAGGTATATAAGCCGTGTCAGAGGCACCAAGACCAGAAGAAACAACCAAGAGCAACTTCAACGAACATTTAGAGTTTCCTGTTCATCACGCCATCAAGCAACAAGTGAGGCATGGACTTGGATTTTATGTTCAGTGGGCGTTTGGTTTTAGAGTTTGTGTACTAACTGGTTTGTCTTTTCTGTCAAATTTTCTGTTCCACTCTCTCTCAGCAGAAATGACTGGAGCCTCCGTATCAGTGTGCCTTCTCTTCCTCCTATCCGTCTGTACTGCCTGTTACATCTCTAACTGTCCTATCGGGGGGAAGAGGTCCATCATGGATGCACCTCAGCGCAAGGTGAGCTGCTTTTTAACCATTCAGCCTTTAACCACTCAGTCGTTGGTTATGAAATTAGATTGAGGAAATTTACAAATGTAAGTAACTTCTCAAGGAAGCTGTTCATGTATCTTAGCTTTTGAAAACAGGGGCAAAGATTAAAGCAAGGCTTAAACAAACGAACAAAGAGGACTTTTAATAAGAGAGACAGTTAAGAAAGAGACACAAAGGAATAAAAAAACTCTACATATACAATCCTCCAGGAATATCAGTGATATTAATGAATCTTTTCCTCCGCCAGTGTATGTCCTGTGGCCCTGGAGACAGAGGCCGCTGCTTCGGTCCCGGTATCTGCTGTGGAGAAAGCCTGGGCTGCTTGCTGGGCTCCCCAGAAGCTGCTCACTGTGTGGAGGAGAACTACCTGCTCACCCCCTGCCTGGCAGGAGGGAGACCCTGTGGATCTGAGGGAGGAAGCTGCGCTGCCCCAGGGCTCTGCTGTGATGCAGGTTAGAAATTAAGCAGTGCTGCTGGAAGAAGAAATACCACTCTGTTAAATTACACTATTTAAGGGTACAGTGAGTAAAATCATAACTCAGTTGAAATGAATTAGAACAGTAGCATGTTAAAATGAATATATAATCACCTTCCTTGCACCATCATGTTTTTACAGTTGCACAGAATGGACAAACTATGCATCATGCATGTTTTTGTATTAGTATGTGGCTGCAGAAGATACACCAGGCTGTTGTCAACTAAGAAATTTGGATCAACAGATGCTTTTAATCGTAAAAAAAAAAAATAATGATCATACGTTACTTGTCTCATGTTACAGGAGCTTCATCATTATTGCTTGACCTACTGCCGGGGTAGATAAGAGAGCAGTTCATTGTAGAATCTGACCTCTAGATATCGTTGAATATTTCCATGACAGAAAAAAATAACTTCTAAATCTTTATTTTAGTTAGGGTACAAAAGATTCATGAGCAGAGCTGTAAGGCTGACCACAGTGCAGCTGGTTGTTACTGCTATGGACTGATCAAATTTATTGTAATTTGATCATGATTTACATTGTTTTCTTGTTGAATAAGTAAAAGTATGATTATGCTCTCAGATATAACACTGAGTAGGGATAATGGAAGCATCAACTGTTAACCTTTTTCAAAACTTAACTTTCCATGACTGCATTTAAGATTCTAAGTTTTACTGCGATTGCCTCGTACCTTTTGCAATATCTTATATGCAAGTACTGGTGTTCATCCACGCTCCTAAGTTTGCAAACTATGATTTCACTCACGCTTTAATTCCTGACAGTATGAGCAGTGTTTCCTATGATCTGAAGAGCAACACTTAACTTTGGATTTGAGCTCTGCAGCATTAGTCGACGTGACCTCTATTCTGGTCATTTCCTGTTCACTCCCCCTCTACAATCAACCTGATAACAAACAATCACGGTCTCTGTTGATAACAAAAAATCATGGTTTTTATCACAACTCTCTATTTATGTGTATTTTCTCGCTGGCACAGAAAGCTGCACCTCAGACCAATCCTGCCTCATGGACAAGGAGGGAGAAGACCAAACCAGCCAATTCGAAGGCAGCGACCCGGCCGATATCATCCTCAGGCTGCTTCGTCTGGCCGGTCACACCTCTTCTCATCGAGTCCACCAATGAGCTGCTCCTGACACCACAGCCTTGTGAGAGACAAGACATCGGACTTGTAGTTGTAGTTAATGTAGTTATAGTTCTCTGTTTGTCTTCATCTCCCTAAAGTACTTCTGTCGAGTGCCTTTGTCATTATATATATTTTTATGTATGAAAATATGGGATGAATACTGACTGTGGTCATCCAGGTATCTGCATGTTGAAATAAAGCTTTGGGAGAGTAAAAAGTGGTGTGTTTATTTGTAGGACGCCTGCATTGAATGTCTAAGTCTGCAGCAAACTTTCACCCGTGCAGAAAGAACACGTCAGCGTAGGTCTTATCAGGCTGCAGTGATACTCTTTGTATTTTCTACTATCACTAATGTACAAAGCACACAGCCGACTTTATCTGCCACATCTTTGCACACTCTGCAACAAAACTCCAAGGGTCCTCACATGACGCTGTGTGTGTATGAGTGTGTTTAGTCTTGGTGACTCTCACTGCACACCGTCAATGTTGCAACAGGTACGACTTATCTTTTACAGTAGTGAACTTTGAACTATTTACCTTTAGTTTAGGGGGTTTTTGTGGTACAAAAAAAAGAAAGATGTGACTGTAATTTAATCTCAAACACTGCAGAAATTATTGACCTTGTGTCTGATTGAATTTTCTTGTCTTTTGCTCACTCTGTGGAAGCTCTAGGAGTTTATCTAGGAGGGTGACATCACCTGAGTAAAGTACCTGTAACGTCATGTAGAGAAAAGTTCACACCGAGGAGGCAGACACCGAGCTCCAGACTATTCAAAAAGTGCAAAAAAGTGCTCATATGATCATGCAACATACCTTAAAATAGACATTAGACTTCTCAGGGTAATGAGGTAGATTATGTTTTGATTCAAAACAACAGGGTATGATACAACACCACATAATACAATACCACACAACATGGTACAACACAGTATGTCACATTATGATATTACAAGACAATCTGTCACACCACAAAACATTATTTTATGAGTGATGCAGTTCAATATGATAAACACTGGTCAGTATTTTATGCTGCATTACATTACATCACAATACAATGGCCATCATACTATATGATACAGTACAATGTGAATTTAAAAAATATCTAAAAATATGCAAAAATATAAATCAAAATTTGTCTGGAAGAGGAATAAGAAAAAACACACATTGTAAGGGAACCTGCTGTAAAGTTTATAGCATCTCTATTGTGATATGATAGATTATAGATTATATAGATATTAGAGCAGTCCCTAATTAGTGAATTGATTTCAGCTGTGGGCCTGGCCTGAGGCTCATAGGTTTCCATGGCAACTTGATTTAGTTGCCCGTAATGATAGATGCACCGCAGGCTGAGGCAGCCAAAAAGACAAGAAACAGAGTGATTTTTTGCCTTAGCCCTGATCTCACATTTGGGCTATTTCTGACAGAACCGTTGCTCCTATCAGAAAGAAAAGTAGACTGTGGTTATTGTGAGGACCTCCTGAACACTTTGATATGATTTTGGTGTTTCTAAAGTAAACAGTTTGGACATACCAGCAAGATTTAACCAGGAGTCCCCTCTGCTTCTCTCAGAAAATCTCTTAGCGTCAATGAGGAGCAGAGAGAGACATTGCCGAACTTAGAAGCTCAATGTTTAAATTCTGTAAATCTCTCCGCTTAGATGAACACATTATTAGAGACAGAACAAGTGTGTCTACAACTGTGGAAAAAAAACATGCATGTAGAGTGTAATTTCTGGCCATGAGGAGCGTGGAAAGAGAAAAGTTTCAGACAATTTCCTGTAACTTCTCTCACTCTAGCCAATAACGTCACCCACTCTGTCACAAAGATTTGACACAATACACACCCATTATAATCTCAAAATTTCTCCAAAAATGATTATAGTCATTGAACAGTGATTGATCAAAAAATTCCAACACCTATCAAAATGTGGATTAATACACCAATAGACAAGACTTGTGTCTAAATTTTTAAAGTTAAAATGGAGTCTCTTGGTAAAAGTATGCCGGAGGAGTAGACATTTGAGAAACTCCCATAACAGCTCTTTTTGGGGGGGATTGGGGTGGGCTTGTCCTATTGACTTAAATGCAAAATTTTATGATAGGTTTTCACGACTTTTCACACATGATCACAAAACATTTACATTAGAGAGAATAAAAGCACACTGATCCCGATTAAACTGCATGTTTTGATGTATAATTGGTCCCACAACTCTTCAAGCTCTAGGACTTGTGGTATGACATGAATGCTTCGGTGCTTTTGCCCCATGGCCCTAATAACAATATGGTATAATATGATGTAAAACAATACAATTCATACAATGTGATAAAATACAATATCAAATGCGGAGATACAATACGATGCAATAAAATTTGCTGAGATACAATGTGATTCAATTTGATTACATGCAACACAATCCTATGTTATACAATGCATTGGGATCTTGGACTTTGCTTTATATAGCACTTTCACTGACTGCCTAAAGAGCTTGTACATAAAATTTTACACTCCATCCACACCACAATCATACATAGATTACAGTGACTGCTATTTAAAGGGCACATCAGTTTTGACAAGTCTAATTCAAACACCACTGGGTGCAGACAGTGGGGGCAGGTGAGATCAAATCCCCAACCCTCTAATCAGAAGAGAAACCAGCTCTACCAGTGAGCCATTGGATGCTTGGGTAAAGATACCATATGAAATGATGCGAAAAGATATGACACGATACGATATGAAACAGCACAGTGCAATAAGATGTGAAATAATAGGATGCCTACTATTGAACTTTTTCTCCAGCAAATTATTATCAGATGTGTTCTGAAAAAGTGAGTGACTGACGACACTCAGAAAAACAAAGCAGGAACAAGTCCAAGAGTTAGCTTTAAGAAAAACAAAAAAGGGGGGAGAGGCAGCGACAAAACTGTTGGAATATGGAACTGAAAATGAAAAGCTTAAAAAGAGAAGGAAGGAGAAAAACAGGAAGAGGAGAAGCAGTGAACAGAAACCCGACAGCAACATAATGTATGATCGGCTTTTTTTGTGTGTGAGTCATCATATGTTGATCTAATTTAAGTGACAGAGACTTTAAGGATCCGTTTGTGCTTTCCCTACCCATGAAACAGAACTGAGTGATTCTAAATACAGTCACACTGGGGTTACCTAACCTCTTTTATCACTCTGTGTGCTCTTATCTGCAGGGCTGGATCGTCTCTGAGCTCCACTGGATGGAGTGAGCAGGAACTGCTTTAATTGGAGACACCTGGGGTTAATGATTGCAGCGCTTGAGTCAGAGAGTATAAAACAAGAAGAGAGTCCTTTCTGCTCTTACCTTCACGTCTGTCACCATGTCTTTCTCTGGAAAATACCAGCTGGAGTCTCAGGAGAACTTTGAGGCTTTCATGAAGGCAATTGGTAAGATTTCAGCTTTTCATTCAACCACTAGTTGTAAAAGTGTCTGTTTAAAAAAAAAAAGGATCTTGGGGTGGACATATCATGTGGCTTTCCATTGATACTAATCATCAAAGCAATCAATTGTTGGTTGACTTGTTGAGCATTAAAAATATAAGCGCTTACTCTAAACTGGCTTAACTCTGGTGGATAAGAGAATACATGTTGCAATGGCTTCATTACATTTTATCTTCTGCCTCAGGTCTTCCTGATGAACTCATCCAGAAGGGCAAAGACATCAAGAGCGTCTCTGAGATTGAGGAGACTGGTGACAATTTCAAAGTGACGGTCACAACTGGCACAAAAGTCCTCGTCAACTCATTTGTGATCGGACAGGAGTCTGAGATCGAGACCATCACAGGGGACAAGGTCAAGGTGAGTTGGGACATTGAATAAGGAATCCAATTAGGTGTGTTTTAATAAACTTGACCTAAATGCACAGATGCCTGGTACTGAACTATGTCCTTTTTTCTTAGACGGTTGTTAGACGTGATGGCAACAAGCTGAGGGTCTCTCTGAAGGGGATCGAGTCAGTCACAGAACTGGTGGATGGGAACACTATCGTCAATGTAAGTAGAAGGTGGTGGTGGTGGGGGAGCTCTGTTTGGACTTTTCTTTGGACATGACTCTAAAGACTTGTGTTTTTCCTCTCTCTCTTTCCTAGACTATGACTCTTGGTGGCATTGTATACAAGAGGACAAGCAAACGCCTATAAATGCCTGCACTTGGGATAATAAAATATTACAAAAATGCAGCACCTGTCTTGGTTTCTTTTGGCGAAAACCATGTCAAACCAAAGTAAATCCCAGTAGCTGGTAGAGCCTGTGTTGACAAAGGTCACTCTTTGGCTCAATGAATTTATAATGGTGATAAGCTAGGCTAGGTCACAACAGAAGCAGGAGCCATGTGAGCACTTTGACCTCTTGACAATGGGTCTGGCTCAAATGTGCTTCTCAACTTGTGCAAAACCAAACTGCTCTATCAGTGTGTATGCCTTGTTGCTTTTCATGGCCTCAGACGTTTCAATCTTTTACAATACGAGAGGAAACTGGTTTAAATCTGGTGAGTTGTGACATGGTTTCACGCTGAAGCCATGATCTTAAAATAACACTGCAGGACTATCTATTGAGTAACAGGGAGAGTCTGATGACCGAAGAGCTAAAATGGTGGGCTGGTTGCTTGACCCAACTTAACCCCAGCAGCTGGGTACCACAAGTACAGAAATCAATGGCTACAAAATGTTCTTGTTTAACCAAAAGTTGAAAGCGATCTAAAACTAAACTGTGCCTACATAGCCAGGCTGTATTTGGGGAAAACTTGAAATGGTGTCAAGAACATTGTTCTGCTGGCTTATAAACTTTCACACAAGGTTTAAAGGTACACCTGGAGTAGAAATAATCACTTAAAGCATAACCGTTTTCTGTCATTGCATATATTCAGGGTGTAACTCTAAAAACTTTTTCTTGTTTTAAGAATAAATATTATGGTCAATATATTACCAAGGACAACTTGGTTACGCATTTAACCGCAGGGTACATGATGCTTGCATTCAGGGCAAAATGAACAACTAGTAAATCTGTCTTAATGAGGTTCGTGTCCTCCAGTTGCTTTATTTGGTTTGAGTACTGAAAACAAGATTCTCAAGTTTGACGTGACATCTTTTTAATGAAAAGCATAACTACAAAAGTGAGTGGTACAGAAAATGTCCATGTGACTAAATGTTCAGCCTCTCACACCAGCACTGATCTGTGAATGGTAAACATTAGGATGGTTTTCTTTGGTGTTTTGGTGACTCCAGATTACTTCTTGCGGTGGAACATGTTCTTGATTCCCTCCTCCACGTTCTTTGGTTCGTGCATCATGGTCATGGGTTTGTTCTTGAGAGCCGCCTCTCTCATACTGTGGTAAACATATTCATTCTGTTTGAACATCCTCAGCTCCATCTCTGTCTGCATACGCATCGCCTGTGGAGAGAGGGTAGAAATGTGTAAACCCCGGTTTGTTGGGTTAACTGGTCACTCTGAGTTGCTTGTAAGAGTAAGTGTGTCTGGTGATCTGTCAAAGGTCTACCCTGCCTCTCACCCAATGACAGCTCGGATAGGCTCCAGCGTACTAGTGACACTAAACCTACACCTAATCTATAGAACAGCAAAACTAGATATGAGCATTAAACTTTATGAAATGAACTTCAAAGGAAACACTTAGCTGTTTACACATCCAGCAGTCACCGGGCAACGTGACATAACTGTCATTCCACAATTTAATATCTTTTATCGCTGTATTGCTCTTTACCTAAGGACAATATTTGCAAAACGTTCAATCCACTTAATGTACCACTACACATGCCGGCTTGTTGCATGTCTGCATTTTGGTCCTTGGAAAGTAGGAATTAGTTTTTTTTAAAGCCTCTCTGCTGAAAAAAAGCTGCCTGATGCCTATGTGACAAAATTTGAATAATAAAAAGTAGGAAAGATATAGGTTACAATGCTGAACAACAAGCCAGAGCTCACTTTAAAGCTTCATAAATGCATAAAAGATCCAGACTTGGGTAACAGCTCTCTAACATAAATGATTCACACTTTGTTTTTACACCATCATTTCATTGATTGGTGTAGTAAAAATATTAATCCTATCAGCTTCCATGCTGCAATGATAAATTTCTGTTGTACTTATTTAATTTGCATCCAAACTGAGCAATCTGACCATTGCAGTATTTTGTGCAGCTTTTCAGGGGACAAAGTCTTTACCTCGAGGTCCTTGGTGATAGGATGTGTTGGGCCATGAGTGACCATGAGAATAGAGTAGGCTTTGCAGATCATCCCATGGCCAACCTCGATCTCCCCAGCCTGCCAGTGAGTCACTCCTGCTCTCATGGCTGCCATTCCCAGAGCTGCATTGTTTGGGTTGTACAGTTTTCTGGCAGGGGAAAAGTTAAATTCATTCAACAATCATTTACATCTTTTCCATTAATGTTTTTGTGCTCTTAGTGCAAAGTGAGGTAATTACTGAAAAGGACATGATGTGCTAGGAGCTCTCGTAACATCTGTGTACTCACATGTATCCATCCACCATTTTTCGGGCGTAGTCTGCAGCGTCATTGAAGTACTGCAAGTAAGCTTGCACCTCACTCAGTGTGCTCCAGATCCTCAGTAGGTAGATGTGTGTGTCGGCCAAAATTGGCTCTACTTTCTCTATGCACGCCTTGCAGATTTTTACCACCTTAGGTTGTTACAAAAAAGAATGTTAAGACAAAAACTAAGAATAAGGAGAGTTTTGGTAAGAAAGGGAAATAACTTTGAGTAATGAGTTTTAATTAAAAAATAACTCTGGAGCTGCTTTATGGGCTTGATTTGACGTAAGAGGTGCCTTGATACCTCATGGTAGTCGCCTTTTAGTCGAGCCTGGTCCATCTTTTCCAGTATTTCATAGCAATGATCTGTCGCCTCTTTCACTTGTTCCTCAGATGGCTGAAACAAAGATGAGATGGTGTTAAAATCTAAGGTAGTAAATCACATTTTTCAGATATGAACACAAAGACACTGAAACAAATCTAAAAATATGCTCTCCTAGGTATATTTCTAGTCCTGTTTTGCTCTCCTCAAAGCTGAATGCTTGATTATTCTTCACTCAGAAGAAGCAGGATTTGATGGCATCTAGTGTTGGGACTACAAATTGCAACGAACTGTCCTCTTTCAGTGAGCAACCACAAATATATTGTGAATATATTGGTTATTTTTCTTTTGGAAGAAGGCTTGAATTTCTGTCTTTTGGCGAAAATGATTTCCTGGAATGTCCATATTCAGATTTTTGGGTTTGTCTCATTAAATTTTTTAGTCAAATAAGAAATCTCCTAATGGTTTGGCTAACTTTTCAACAGCTACAAAATTTTATGATACACTCCCATTACAATTTTACTGCCAGTAGTCTTTGACACTGGTTATTTATAACTCCTAACCCACAAAGATAATCTGCTCTATTAGACACACACACACAAAGCAGACTTGTAACCTTTGCCTTGAAATAAATGGAACGCCTCAAGTGTCAAAGATCGAGATATCAAGTCATATAATCCAAGGCCAGCACATTTTACAGTCTCCCACACTGACTTTAGCCTCCAAGGGTATCCAGAGGTGAATATCAAGAAGTTTGGTGGTAAGAGACTGACAGCTTGTCACAGCTAATGGGGATCCTTTTAAATGATTAACAATTTTATCAAAGTAAATACACAATTTCAGTTTCTGGTAAAAGAACAAAAAAAACTGTTGTTATCATACACTGAATAAACTTTCTTTGAGTGTATTTTACACTTCACTAAATTGTAAAAATTGTACATGTGATTGATAGCACATACAGACTCATGAAGCTGAATCCACTGGGAGTTATCTTATACCTAAAATAGTCCCCACAGCTCCACTCCTCATGTTTCCCTCTGTCTGTATCACTCATGTTGTCAGGACTAGAAGCAGCAGCAGGCCTCAGTCTTTGTCGCCTCTTGCAGAATAAAACTTTAATCTCCCTGCATCTTTACCATGAACACGCAAATGCACACAAACCTTGACCCCGTCCACCTCTTTCCCTGCCAGCTTCAGGTCGTCTTTGGTTCGGTTCTTGCAGTGCTCGCATGTGCAGTCAAAAAAGTACTGTGTTTTCAGCAGTCTTTGTCTCTCCTCGGACAAATTCAAGTAGTCCACGTAAGAAACTGTCAGCTCCTCTCCTTCTTCGATTTTACCGAGGGAGCGCAGCTCAATCCTAGGGGAAAAAAAAGACAGTTAAATAGAAGCTGAGATGCACATGTTGATTTAATTCATGGACTTGATTGATGGTAAAACCCTGTTCCATCATCAGTTCAGTCAATCCAGTTCAAATATTGTAGAGTAAATACCCTAAAATATCAGAGTAATTATTTCACAATTAAGCCAGAGTTTATTTGACTGATGGTGAATGTAAAACTGCTGAATATATGAATGTTACCTGCTTGTATGTTATGTAGAACACAGAAAACTTTAAATATTCTGCATGTTTGAAAAACCTTTGTCTGTTTATTTTTTTAATTTCCTGTTTTTTTTTTGTCAATTTTGTCATTAGATTCACTTTATTTCCCCTCAACATTGTGCAAACTTCTCATATACTAAACAACTTTTATGGAAATATCAAATCAAAATGATGGTGAAAGGCTTGAACATGAAATAATTATGGTTGTTAATGTTATGGAAATGTGTTAATTTAAATGGTTGTAAGATGTTAGAGGTGGGCTAAGGTGGACTAAGCAATCTGTGTTGGCAGGATGGACTCACACGCACTGTGATAACACACAAAAGCAACAACAGGTGTGTAGAACTTTGTGTGGACATGACAAACACGTCTAAAATAAGAAGAGGTTTAAATATGAGATACCAGCAGGTGAAGACAAACCAGAACCAGCCTTTGGTTATACTAAAAAAAAGCTTGATGAATGTTAGAGCATTCATGTTGATGTGAAAATGGAGTCGCATCAAGTCTACGGTGCAAACTACACAGCACTACTGACAGAGACTTATCTCCTCCAGAGGATGAAGTCGGATGAAGGATGGCGGTTAAATATGTGTTGATTAAGCGTTTTAAGTCAAAGTCTTAATGATGCTCTAAAAAAAGAACTGTTAAAAAAGGCTCAGGTTGAGGTAACGCACCTACGTTGAGAATGAAACATAGTATTCACAGCCGATTGACTGAAAGACAAACAGGAAGCAGTTTTACACCAAATGCTACCTAACACGCACACATACACACTCACACATACACACGATCACACAAAATACACAGCAGCACATGAAACTCTCAGAACACTCAACATTTTAATTTTGTTTAATCAAGTTAGAGTCTTTCAGTGGAAAACTTTAAAGGGGAAGACGTCACTGAAGACTACATTCCTCTATGAACTGTCATGGTTTTTTACGTACTTGCCGTGGTTGAGGATCACAGTGCAGTTTGGCCAGCAGTTATGATTCACAAGACACAGGTTAGGGAAGAGGCCGACACCGACTGCCTGAAGGCCTCTCTGGTCGCTCACACTAAAGCCATTACAATTAACCTGGGAGAAATAAAAGGACATTTTAGGACATGATCATCTATCGTTTCATGTGTGTCCATAAGGGTCAAAGGACGCATCTGGAGAGACATTAGAGTGACCAATGATACCTCTAGACTAAACAGCTTATGAAATCAGAAACATCTTTTGTTGTTTTTGCCCAAATTTCTGTCTCTGTTTTTGTCTGTTTCATTATCACCTGGGTTTTGACTTCATGTGTATTTTTGTTACTGGTACCTGAGTCAGAATTTCTGAGTTGCAGTTGTTGCCAGCATGTTGTGTGTGTGCCACCCATCCTTCAGTTATGGACGTTAAATTCTACAGTTTGAGCTCATTTTATCCATATTAGTCTCTGAATCATTTCACCTCATTATAAGATGATTTTACATTTATAACCAAGCAAAATAGTAAAATAATGAAAAAAGGCCAATGAATGGATAAAACATGCAAACCCACCACCCCAAAGATATGTGAGATGTCATCGATTGTGTGCTGCTTGCTGGTTCTTGGCCAGTAGTCCAGGAAGTTGTGGATGTCCACTTTAAACTCCTTTAACTCATCCTCCTGCATGTCAGCAACGTGGTCCTCCAGCTCATCCAGCGTGGTCAGCTGCATGTCAGATACCATGCTTCCCTCCTTGTCTAGGCGCCACATGAGGCGGGCCACCAAACTGACCGCAACAAACACAACAATGAAGTAGAAAACATGAAAAGATCAGACATATGTTATCTTGAGACAAATTTAACTACACATTTGATATCGATTTACTCCAACTTACCGGATGTTTTCATTGGGTACTTTGCCGTATGCTTTGATGGAAGAACATTCGAGTTTGTGTTCAGCCCAGCCGGCACGTTGGCAGGTTCGGTCACAATAATGGGCAAACTTGCACTGACCGCACCTCTGTAGTTTGTCCCCTCTGCGGAAACAGCTGTGGCAGATCCGCTCTCCCAAACTGCAGATCAAGAGAAGACAGAAAAGCAACTATTTGATCATCTGATCATTCCACCACAGTAATGACGTTGATCAATAAATATTTTGACCTTACTTAACTTGTGGAAGATGCAGCTTTTTTGGATTTGTTACTGGCAAGATTTAGGCTATGTTCACACTTGGAGGTCAATAACGATTTTTTGACCATATGTGACACATATCTGATTTTTTCATGTAAGTGTGAACAATCAGAATTGCACTGTTCAACCCAGGCCTCTTTAGTATATGGATATAAAACGGATATGTATCCAATGTGACTGCAGTGTGGACGCTCAGGTCGCGTTCATCTGACCTATATGCCATCAATATGCGACAAACATCACCATTGTTTGAAAACACAAACAGGCGCAGAAAGCAATTTGTGCTTTGTGCGCATGCGGGTCACTTCACGGACGCATTCCGTTCACATTAGATGCCGCATTTGTTGTTGTAATGTGAATGACCGCACGATCAGATTTAACAAAAAAATCCGAATTGTGCATCATAACCTGCAGTGTGAACATAGCCAAAGTCATAGCATACCATGGCAAAATGTTTCGAGTTCAGCATTCCTAATCAGCATCTCAGCAAAGCAAATTAGTCAATTTTGACCTGAAAATAATTGTTCTAGAGGTAAAATTGTATTCATATATAGAATACAATAAGGAGCATAGATAGTAGTTTATGCTTTTTCTCAGATTTGATCCCCCAAGGATGCCATTTTTACATCTAAAGAACAGTTATCTATATGAAATAGCATACATGTGACAAGAATTTAATCGTGATTTACTCAATATTTCCTCACAGCAACCATTTTCCCCCAAAGAATAACTAGCTATCATTAGATTTTCATTCATTCATTTATAGCAACTGATAAAAGAGTGTTGACAGCAAAAAAAAGTCACCTCATTGAGCCACACTTAGGGAGAAAAAACATAGTTATCTCTGTTTTTACAGCTAAAAAATTACATCAAATATTGGCATTCAAATATCCCAGCTAACAATGTTAGCAAAGTGGCAGTACTTATTATACCAAATAGAACTGTTAGCATGAACTATCCTTGCTAAAATTGCTGTTAGTTAAGTGTCAGTACACTCAGCAAGAATTTTCCTTTTCTCACCACTGAAGAGACAGAAATAAAGCTGTTGAGTGACAGTAGTAATGGCTTTTTGATATGGAAAACCTGACAAAGACTACTTAATTTGCTAAATACTAAACATAGGTAATGGTTTTCAAAAACTGTGCGATCCCCATTCTTCCAAGATATCCTGACACTCATAAGTCTGAGCACATGTCACACCACTAAGAATACACATACAAGGTAGCGTCATTACTGTACCTGTCAAACACAACAGCAGAGATACTTGGCTCAGAAAAGATGACATCTCCAGCCCAAAACTCCTTCGTAGCTTTAAGACCTCTCCCCTTTCCAGGTGAGTCAAATATTGCCACGTTCTCCATGGTTCAGAAGCTGCAGTGAGAAGCTGGTGAGGAGTGAAACAGGGTAGTACGGATGAGATGGGGTGGTGTTTCAGTCGTACGAGAAGCTAAATACAGAGTTAGGGTACTTGAGGAACTTGTAGACTGATCTGTGTCCTTTGTGTGCTTCAGGGACAAATGCACATTCCACACTCGAGGTACTAAAATAGCCCTCCACCTCTTGAACTGTACCAAGGGGCTCAGATAATGGGGTTGGTGGAGACATGTCCCATAGTCCCCTGAGAAATAGAATGTCCCATTGAAAAATGACACATCCAGTAAAACTAAGAGCTTGTTGGAGAGACATATCACTGAAACTGGAGTTTGTTTTTACTGATATTTTTGTTCATTTGGACACACTTTTTCTTTTTTTCACATTTAAACTGCTGAAAGACCCCCCACCCCCACCATGAATTGGTAGAGGCTTAGTCTCTGAGGGTTATTTTTGGCCCCCAGTTGCTGCTGTCTGTCATGAGTTTGTGGTGACGTAGGACAGCTGCGAAACATTGGACTCATCTCCCTGCCTCCACCTTGTTCTGGTGCTTTCTCTTACCTCCTCACTCTTTCTCTCCTTCTCCACGTGCACATTAGTCATGTACACACAAACTCCGTTGGGGGACCCACTACTAAGCCCACAAGTTTGGATCCCCACAATGTGTTTCAAACAGAAGACACACGTATCAATATATGAGCTAGGCTGTCACAATATTAGAGTGACACTTCACAATTACAATATCATCATGAAAAACTTTAACATAAAACAACAAACAAGTCAAACTGAGGAAAAGTAAGGCAAGGATGGAGCCACACAATGCTTCATAAACTGAAACTCATGAAGTGAAATGGGAATTTTAATAAAGGCATATCAATCAATCAATCAATAAACTTTACTCTACCCGTTTAAATTCAAGACTTAACCATAATTTCAGCCCTGTGATTGAAACTTCTTTAGAAAAGACATTACCTCATAAACATTTGTCATGCTTTTATTTTGTTCTTTCACATTTATCTTGCTTTATTTCCTGGCTGGTCAAACAATGCTTTTATTTCGAAGTATACTACAGTTGTTGAACCATAACTTACAGAACTACAACAAAACTGTCAAACGAATGATTAAGATTAAGAAGTACAAGATTTAAGACTTATTTAACTGAAGACTTAATGAATGATTTAATGAAGTGGTACAAACTGGTAAAAATTGATTTGTTTTATTTTTTTGGATCCAAAATGAATCTGAATGTCAGTTTTTAAATGTGCCAAATCCTTTCTCTCAGAGGGCTTACTACAGGTAGCTTGCTAGCAGTCTGCTCCTTCTTCTTCATCTCTCCCCCTTTCCATGATGTGTGTCCACCTGTGGAACAGAAGACCACAATAAATGTACAATATTACTGTATGCTTATTATTTGCACAGTATCAGTATATATTTTTTTGAGGGCATATTCTGACTTCCCAAAAAGAGGACACAGGGTTGCAGAGTCGCACAAAGTTAATTTTGAGAGTCTTTCAGGTCCGATCGAGTGTCTTTTATGCACTTCTAACTCAGTAAGTCCATGCGACACAAAATCAAAACTTGCGTACAAAAACCGTGAACATTTGAAGGATTTTATAAATTTCCCCAGACTCACCAAGACAGCCCAGACAGCCCCCCAAAAAGAGGACATGTCCAGGTAAAAAAGGACTTTATTGTCACCCTAACAGTTATGTTCCGGCTGTATGTTTCTTGTTGGCCTTTTTCCCCCCTTTTTGTCTTCCCCAGCTCTGCCCAGGTGAACTCACTGATTGGCATTCAGCCTCACCTGGTGCTGACAGGTCAAAACCCAGGAGCTGCCAGCAGAGGGGAGAGGCCTTTGAAGGAGAACTGCAGCCCTCTTGGCTCTCATTTGGCTTTTTTTGGCTCATTGTGTTTAGTTGTCCTGTTAATTTGTTCTTCAGTTAATCTTGGTTAATTATTTAACTCTTAGTCTTTTGTTGCAATAAATCACCTGGCTAGCTTTTGAAGGTGTTTTCTGTTACTTTAATGGGTCAAGGTGCAAATTGATAGGCCCCATAGGGCCGCCTTTGGGTGGGGCGTTACAGGTTAATACTGGTTTATTGCGACAGCCCTAATACAAACATAAACTTCCTCAAATACCCTCACACATTCTTACAAGTATCTATAAAAATACTGGTTAGTATCCACAATCAAGTCTGCGAGGGACTGGTTTCACACACCAACTGGTCTTCACTTACCCAAACTATGACTGTGGTTCAGTGGTATAGTAAATCGCCTCTCAATAGGAAGGGTGGGGTTTGATCCCATGTCCCAATGTCCACATGCTGACGTGTTCATGCAAGATGCTTTCCCCCAAAATAGCCCCTGCTGAACTGCACCCAGCAGTATAATAATAGGATTAGTTATACTGATTGGCTTATCACACACTAGGCTTTGCCATCTAGTGTATGTATGTGGTGTGAATGGTTATGTATGACATATAATGTGAAAGTGCCTCAAGTGGTTATAGAAGAGAAGGGAAATAAAGCACAGGTCAGCTAATGTCAAACCCTTCCTGCAGCAAACAGACACAGCTGCCCCCTAATGGTTGGTGAGGTAAATATTGCTGTAACAAGAGTCTCTTTTTTTTTTAGAGATTTTTCAATAAATTTCTACATGATTGGTACAAAAGTATTGATTTTCTTACCTAATATGTAATCTTACTTTAAAATACACAATCGTTTACGCTGCCATATGTGGATGCTTGAGTTTTTTTTATTAAAGGACAAATTATTTCTAAAATTTGATGATTTTGGATTTCCTCTAAATATGTGCTGCTTTGTGCTGTGACTGTCATCTACCATCCAGCAGGAGTGACAAGGTGTTGAATCCCTGGGAGACTCTGCCTCTATGAAGTATACCATCTTTTTTTTTAATCAACATTTACTCAGCAATTCAACTTTCGGACTTTTGTGAAATTGGGATTGTTGCTCCTAAAGTAAAAACTGTGTTTTTACTTTTTCATTATGCCAGTGTAGTTTCAGCCCCCAGGCCGCATTATAAATGAATCCCATCTGTGTCTGCTTTTCACCATGCCTCTGTGAGGGTCAAAACCAGTCAGCATCTTTCCTGATTGTGGAAGATTTTTTTTTTTTTTTTTTATGAGATAAGTGCTGACTGAATGAAAACTTAATATAATCCCAGACTCAAGAAAGTGTGCTTAAACCTAGCCTCTGAGACCTCACTAAACTTGCCTTGTTATGTTATTTGGTGCCAGAATAGAAGAAGTAATAGTGATGACTCAAAACTAAAATTTGTTAGTACACCAGCCACCACTGCCTGTCAACAAAAACTAAAGCAACTCTGGTTAGTAAAACTAAACACTGTCGCCCTGGAATCAGTATGTTCTGGGTTCAAGTCCTGAGCTGGCACTTCACATTATAGTGGGAACTGTGCTTTTGAACTATATACTGACCTGTAATAATAACACACATTTGAAGGCAACCATTGCCGGGCTAGCTTGCAGTGAGCTTGATGGCTCTGGGTTCAAGTTCCATGCAGGAAACCCCATGTTGGGTGGGAATAAAATATTTTCCTCCAAATGTAACATGAGCTGAGTTTTTGAACCACCATACTAAAAATGTGAAACAGGAAAAAATGGAAAAGGCAAAAATTGTCAGGCTGGCCTGTAGTGTTGTAGTGTAAAGTAGTAGTGTAAGTGTTTGTCAAAGCATCACAGCCAAAAAACCCTTGTCTCCCCGTCCCAGAAACTATGATCTGAACTGAATCCTGAACCGTTCAGCTGTATATCAGTTCAGGAGGTCGGAGTCGCAGGCTTCTCCTGCCAAGTGCTGAATGATTCGATGATTCGGTGAACAAATCTTTTGAACGAATCTTTTTAGTGAACTGAAGGTCCATACACACCGGGACCGTTTTTGTCGTGCGATTGTTTCGGACGTCAATATTTTTTTTCAAACCCGTATCCTGTCAATACAAGCATTCACATCAGCGACGTTTCCCATCCTGCGATATTGTGGCATTTATCATGATCATGGTCGATTTTTGCAAAGTTTTGCATACTGTATGTCCACTTCTGACCAATCAGATTGCGTGTTGTTGCAACGTCTGATTCACTGGTATATCCAACATGGCTGACTGGCTGATTGTTTATGATCATTTACACACACATTACAAAGATAAAACCTACAGGAAAACTTGTGGAGAATCATAGCGTCGGATTTCTCATATGACGATGGTTTGTGTGCTTTAACAGTTTGCCAAACGTCTTTGTTTTAACTTTTATCTGTGCTAACGTATGCTAACGGTTGTTACCATAGTTTCATGTGCTTATCTTATCGCCTCTGAAGTGCTAACCGTTTGGCTTGAGTGTGTGATGATGTTTCCAACTTTTCTAGCCAATCAGAGGCGAAGGAGGCAGGACTTTCCCCCGGAAAAGTCTTCCCTGGGATGCATCTTTTTCCTCCCAGAAAGTCACAAAACCGCATCAGGCTTGATGTGTATAGTCAGGCACGTCAAAATTCGCCTCAGAATATTTCATGATTTCGTGTTCTTTATTCGTGTCGCCCCGGTGTGTAAGGACTTTAATTCTAGCGTTTCAGTACATCTAAAAGAACTGATGTGCCCATCACTATGGTGGGGCAACATGTCACATGTTCACACGCTCTATTTGATTGCTTATAACTCTGCACTGACACAAAATATGAAAATGACATGAATACGAAATATATACCTGAGACTTTGCTCTTTCATCTGGTACACATTTTCTTTATATATGATGTATTGATTCCGAGGAATATATAAGAGTGTAAAAAAGTGTGACAACAAGCCCCGGTCTCCCCTACTTTCTGATAAACATGATGTAGCCCAACAACATGTTTCAAGGCAGGTGACCACAGTCCACCAGGGATACTGTATATGACTCTATAGGCTTTTCCCAGGGGAGAGCTCTGGATAAAAGCCAAAAGGGGGCGTTCGTATCATGCAGCCGGAGAGGCGGGGCCAGAGGTGGGTGTGTGTCTCTCAGCTGATGCGCGTATCAACCGACCGACTCCATCATCAGCATCCGACGCTGACAGCGGTCGAAGGCAGCATCCCTGATATCACCGAGCCTCGGTAACATCGCCGAATCACAGAGATCCGGGCCGAGCAGGACTGACGCCGCTGTCTTGTGACATTATTGTTTATTGAGGCTGCCATCTTAACACACCGCCAAGCTGCAAAATAGTGAGTAGCCTTTGATGATGGACCGCCAGGATGCTACAATCGGTAAATCAAAGCTGCTGCCGTCAATGTCAATGACGCTGCTGTGTGTGTTTGAATGTAGATATATTTTTGGATTCAGCCAGGCTCGTGCGCTCGTCTCTCGTCTCAGGGCCTAGCGAGGAGGTAATTGTTTGGGAGCGCAGTCGATTCGGGGCTTGATGCGGATGCTGCTAAAGCCGCCCTTGCCGCCCAGGGATGCAGAGAAAAAGGGAGAGAGAGAAGGAGAGAGAGGGGGGGAGTCGTGAGGGGAGGGGATTGAAGCAGAGCAGCACATAGATAGGCAGTGTATTTTACTACTACTACTATTCACCCAAGTGGAAGTAAACCTCGAGTAAATGGGCTGAGGAGGGGAGGTATTAAAGCATGACTCCTTCTATCTATCTATCTATCTATCTATCTATCTATCTATCTATCTATCTATCTATCTATCTATCTTTCTATCTATCTATCTATCTATTAACATGGGGAATATGCTATTGCATGATTCTGGTGATTTGAATGCTCAGGCACTTTATAGCCATAGAAACAGTATGTGTAGTTTTCATTTGTGTGTGCATCCACTGAACTGCCAGTTTATTGTGTACACATTTTCTTTACAAAAAAAAAACCCTAATTCAATAATTTAATGCACCATCCCTGCAATACATCCTACCTACATGAAGGTTATGGTTATCTTGTAGGCAGCAGTTTGTAGGAGACGTTGAATTGTATTGCATAACAGTGAGAGGTGTTTAATGCAGTATTTTTGGACATTTTTTTTTGTTGCTTTACTATACAGGAGGCGGTTCATGGGATGACAGCATTGTTATGTACATCCTTAAACCTTAGATCACCTGGATGCTTACTGAGAGTTGTTTCAATAATAAGTCTGCTGAAAATAGAATACTAAAAATGACTCTACCTCTGAATGTAGACTAAGTTACTATATTTTTAAATACACATAGTTCAAAATAATTCCAGCTCATACAACAGTCCTGCAATAAATTATTTTTAGTGTTGCAGAGTGGTAGTGTTTCAGCTCGCACTGACAGTTAAACAACTATTTTTCTCATTTTGCTCCCCTACACCAGAACTGTCTGTTGACTTCTGGTCATTTGGTTAAAGTTCCTGTGAAAGTTTACTTTACATCTTTGAAACAGGCTAAAAAAAACCCATCAACAATATAACCGAGGATTGATATACTGTAATTTTAATGCCTAAAACTGGTGTGGGGCGTAAGTGTCAGCTGGACCAATGTCCAAGACCAGTGTCCAGATAAAAGGTTCACAATAAACACTTTATTTGTCACTCTAAAGTCAGTAGGATTACTTTTCTTTGCATGTAAAGGACATGATAAGCAAAGACTGCTTTGTCCACAGGGGTTGCCAAAATTGCTCAGAAAATGAACCATGGGACTCCAGTAGATATGACCTGTGTAATTAATAGTTATAGTACTATAGCAGATACAGGTGCACCTCTTAAAATACAAAATCAGTAATTCAGTTCAAAAAGTTAGACTTATGTATTGTATAGATCCATCACACACAGACTGATATATTTCAAGTGTTTATTTCTTTTCATTTTGATGATTGTAACTTACAGCTCATGAAACCCCAAAATCCAGTATCTCAGAAAAGTACAATATTGTGCAGAAGTTGAGTATTAGAGACTCATGGTGCTACATTAATCAGATAATTAACTCAAAACACCTGCAAAGTTGCCCCTGCCCTTTAACTGGTCCATCAGTCTGGATCAGTAGGCCACACAATCATGAGGAAGACTGTGGACTTGACAGTTGTCCAGAAGACAATCATTGACACCCTGCACAAGGAGGGTAAGACACAAATGGTCATTGCTGAAGAAGCTAGCTGTTCACAGAATGCTGTGTCCGAGCACATTCATGGAAAGTTGAATGGAAGGAACAAATGTGGTAGAAAAAGTTGAACAAGCACCGGAGATAACCACAGCCTGGAGAGGGTTGTGAAAGGAAGCCCCTATAAGAATTTGGAGGAGATTGACAAGGAATGGACTGCTGCTGGAGTCAAAGGAGCCACCATGTACTGACAGATCCAAGACATGGACTTCAGCTGTGGCAGTCCTTGTGTCAAGCCATCTTGAATCAGAGACCATGTCAGAGGTCTCTTACCTGGGCTAAGGACAAAAGGAACTGGACTGTGGCTGAGTGGTCCAAAGTCCTGTTTTCCGATAAAAGTAAATTTTCTTATTTCTTTTGGAAATCAAGGCCCCAGAGTCTGGAGGAAGAAAGGAGAGGGACAGAATCCAAGTTGCTTATGGTAAAGTTCACCCAGTTAGTGGTGGTTTAGGTAGTCGTGTCATCTGGTGGCGATGGTCCACTGTGTTTTATCAGGTCCAAGGTCAGTGCAGCTGTCTACCAGGAAGTTTAAGAGCATGTCATGCTTCCTTCTGCTGACCAGCTTTGTGAAGATGCTGATTTCATTTGCTAGCAGGACTTTGCACCTGCCCACTCTTCCAAAAGTACCAATACCTGGTTCAAGGACCATGATATTACTATGATTGATTGGCCAGCAAAGTCACCTGACTGATGCGATGCCCTAGACCCAACAAGGGTCATAGGCCTCTATCAGAGCAATCTGGGCTTCCATAACATCTCAGCAGTGCCACAGACACATGCTACACCGTATTGCACATGCAAAGGGAGCCCCAACCAAGTATTGAGAGCTATACATGTTCATACTTTTCAGTAGTTTAACATTTCTGTGTCGAAAATCCTTTTTTTTAATTGGTTTTCAGTAGTATTCTAATTTTCTGAGATACTGAAATTTGGGGTTTCATTAGCTGTAAGTTATAATCATCCACATGAAAAGAAATAAACACTTGAGATTTATCAGTCTGTGTGATGAATGTGATGAGTACTATTTCCAAATTTAACCAAGTTATTATCAGGTAACCTATATACGGGCAAACTTTTGCCTCAATTTTGGTCTACTCTACCATGTTAATAGTCCAGCCATAAGTACAGCTCAAAACAATTCAACATCAAATACCTCAGCTTCCAAATGGCCGTAGAATTGAGACAACACCTCTAAATTCAAAATAATGCAAACAAAGCAGAATTAATCATCATCATAAAAGAAGAATCCGCTGAAAGTTGTGACAGTATTTTTTTTTTCCATACAAAACAAAAGAGAGACTTAGCGTGTAGAAGAGGGTGGACACTTGCAAAAATATCCACACTCCACAATGTTAAGCATACTGATCCAACAGCACACTGTAGATGGTTTGTTTGGGTTTTTGAAAAGCGAAAGCTAGTAAGGCATCTTCGTCTAGTTGTGGAGAAAAAGTAGATCCCTGATGCTCCGGTCTGCCTCCAGTAGACTTTAAATTATCTTTGAATCACTTAAATACACAATTGACGCTGTTTCATCAATCCCATACTATATGACCTTTTTTTACTTTGTGAAAGCTTTCTTTAAACCTGATTTTGATTTTCATATGTGATATCACTCCATTGGTTGGTGATACCTGTCAGAGGGAAGTGAGCCCACAGTGAAGTGTAGCTGACCGTAAATAAGAAGTAATTCAACAGATAAATGTTTGTGCGTTTCTAGGTGATCACCAAAAACTTCTCTTTCTTTATTATAGTGTCTCATAACATAGTAACAGCTCGTTTTTTTCTTTTGTTTGTTGTTACAGAAATTCTAAATATATGTCTTTTTTTATTCAGACATGTGATTTGACACTAACAGTCATGGGGGCTGTGATACCCTCAATAAATATACACTGAACTGGCAGTTTAAGCAGCATCTTCGTGACACAGAAAATGGAACCTGCTTCAAAAAAATAAAGGGCTGTTTTTTTGTGCATTTGGTTAGATTTGTTTAAAGCTGATTTTTCTGTATTTATGTCTGCAAAAATGGAAACAACACCCACATTCAGCCCAGTGATGCTATTAGAGTTGCCAAGCTTTGGTAATGTCTACAGTAATGTCTTTTTGGTGCTTCGTATGATACACAGAGAATTTGATATTTAGCCTCTGTGTATACATGGTTGTCCAGACTTATCTGATTGACCCTCTTCATTTTTATCATGGTGGGAGGACCCTGCTGCCCCTGTATGTGGGCTGGATTCTATTCTGCTTTAACTTTATTGTATAACTAGTTCTTATGCAATTACAATATTGTATAACTCCTCTCGTTTTTCTGTGTTCCTCTAGTGTGTATGCCCCCACTACCTGCATTAGGTTGTGATGACCCACACTACTTCCAAATGTATCTGTGACCCCCCCCAATCCTGACTCCTAACCTCTAATCCCTGACCTTTGACCCCCACTATGGGCAGTGTTGGCAGTGGGGTGGCAGGAGAGCAGGAGTTTGCCATGAAGTCTGTGGGCACGAGGACCACCCTGCCCCGGGCCCCTCCTCTCTCTCGCCGTTGCCCTGCCGACCGCAGCTGCAGCGCAGAGCGGCTGCCTCGCCCCCCGGCGACAATATCAGACGGGACGGCTTCTAGCGATGAACGAGGGAGTGTTAGTATCGGGACTGGGACCTGTACTGGGACTGACCGGCCCACCGAAACAGCCTCCTCCACCAACACTGAATGTACCATGACCGCCCCATCCAACAACAACCAGTTGGAGTGTGGCAACGGCGCAGGCAGGCGGGAGAGGGAGTGGGAGAGGGAGAGGGAAAGGCAGCGCGAGAGGGGAAGAGACAGGGACCGGGACCGAGACTGGGACAGGGAGAGGCTGGAGAGGGAGCGAGAGAGGGAGAGGAATCGGGAGAGGGAACGAGAACGAGTGGAGAGGGAGAGGTTGGAACGAGAGAGGGAGCGGGAGAGGGAGAGAGCCAGAGAAAGAGAGAGAGAGAGGATAGAGAGAGAGAAGATAGAGAGGGAGAGGGAACGAGAGAGGGAACGGGAAAGAGAGAGGGAAAGGGAGAGGCTGGAGAATGAGAGGATGGAAAGAGAGAGAGAGAGGGAAATGCAGGCGGCAGGTTTGGATGTTTGTGGGAACATTGTGGGCCGAGGAGGAAACGAGAAGAACATAGTCGGCATGAACCAACACCAGCACAGAGAGATGGCTGCAGCCAGAGCTGACAACGAGAACAATCCAGGCGGTCACAACCCTCCAAACCACAACCCGCCCAAGATCATGCCCGTGTCTGGAAAACTGGAGCAGGTACTTGAAGAGTCTGTTGAAAAGTCTGTTGGCTGAAAGTTTAAGAATCTTCCTCTGAATGTTTGTCCTTCTTTCCTTCCCTTCCTATCTTTCACAATCCCTTTTGCAGGCCATGCAGAACAACTCAGGCCTGGTTCGGCCCTCTGCCTTCAAGCCAGTGGTTCCCAAGAGCTTCCACTCGATGCAGAACCTCGTGGGCCAGGCGGGAGGGGCAGGGAGTGAGGGCAAGGCTGAGGCTAGGAATGAGGGATTCAGTGAGAGCAGAGGAGGCAGGAGAGGCAGGGATGGAGCAGGAGGAGAAGCAGGAGAGGTCCCGGAGGCCCTGCTTCTGGACCAAGACAGCCCAGTGAGGGTCAGCAGAAGTGAGGGAGGGGGAAACGGTAATGAAGTGGTACAAGGAGGCATGTCTGACTCAGGGAGGAACTCCCTAACCAGCCTGCCCACCTATACGGGTTCAGGGTCTGGTTGTGGGCCCCCAGCAGTCCTGGGGCCTCTCAGTGCTTCCACCAGTCACATCAACAGGTTGGGCATGGCTGGAGCAGCGGCAGGGCTGGACAAGCTTGAGAAACCTGGATACCAGGTGAGTCCTCCATCTGTTCACACTCAGACTGTTGCTTAGTGCACTTTTCTGTCTTCAGCGGTTAAACCATGACGTGGTTCTTTTCCTCCAGAACGGGCTCAGCGCCTCGGACAGCGGTCGGTCCTCCTCGGGAAAGAGCTCCTCGTCTTATCAGAGACTGAGCCACCTGAGTGATGCCCCAGCACCTCTACGTCCCTCCCCTTCTTCTGATGACATCATTCAGGACCTTGAGGACCGCTTGTGGGAGAAAGAGCAAGAGGTCAGAGGTCACTTCGAAGTGTCGATTATTACTTTGTGGGCTTTTTGTTGTTATACCAACAATTTTCCAGCATTTTAAGAGCCTGTTCAGTGGCATATAACTATTTGCCTGTTGCTATGTTATGTTGAAATTCAAATTTTTATTTTTCTAGTTATTAATATACATGATAACAAAACTAAGCAGGAACTCAAGGGCTGTGAAGATGATAAAACTTGATTTCTGGTATGAATACACGTTAAAGCCAGCGGTGTTATAAGAAGACAAGATCTTTTCACCACTTTTAAAAGGACGCTTTGCATGCCCTAAACATTTTAAATATTACTTTTTTTATATTTGCCTCACATGCTGACCCTAAGACTCTTTTCTGCTACAGGTGCAGCACATGCGCAGAAACCTGGACCAGAGTGAGGCGGCCATCATTCAGGTGTTTGAGGAGAAGCAGCGCGTCTGGGAGCGACAGATGGATGAGCTGAGACAGAACTACGCCTCACGTCTGCAGCAGGTGATCTCACTGTTCATTTGAAAAATCCTGCATGAACTTGGTGGGATCTTTAAAGAACTGATGATAAAGGCATACAGTGTTACTCGTGAGAGTCAAGAAAACAACAGCTGGAAAGAACAAAGTCACCAAAAATGCCAGGCTTGCACTCCAGTTTAAAAGTGAGGATGTAATTTAATGAATCTGCTGGTAGAGACGTATCATGTGTCTGTGATTTGTCCACCACAAGTATTTGTTTTTATATTTGGTTGTAGTATTTTGTTCATTTTGATATGGTCCAAGGTCCACATACTTTTTTGTCACATCTTTTTGTTTTGTTCAAAGATGAATGTTGCCGACCGCTTGCTTCTCTAGTTATACCAACTTTAGCAACGACTGCAGATAGCAATACAGATAGCCATGCGCTCAACCAAAAGGCCACTCTATAGCCACAAATAATGCTCAGAACAGCACCTAACTTCATCAACAGTACATATAGGGTCCCAGCCATAGTACTAGCTACCAAAGATCTTTTTAACTTTGCCTGATTTCTTTAGCAAAGAGACTAAACACAGCGGGGTGACGCAGCTCAAGGAAGAACATTTATGATCATTACTTTATCATTACCTTGAAGTAATAATCAACATATTAATCATTTTGCGCTGCAGATTTGGTAGTTCTTCTACCTTAGCGTCTTGGTCTGATTGCATTTCCATGAGGAAATGATCATAAATGTTCTTCCTTGAGCTGCGTCACCCCGCTGCAGTCGATGGACTCGCCTGGAGGTCTCTGTACAAACAAGCAGCTGCTGGAAGAGAGTGGGTGAGTTGTGTTTAGTCTCTTTGCTAAAGAAACAAGGCAAAGCTAAAAAGATGTTTGATGGCTAGTCCTATGGCTGGAATCCTTTATGTACTGTTGATGAAGTTAGGTGCTGTTCTGAGCATTACTTGTGGCTATAGAGAGGCTTTTTAGTTGAGCATGTGGCTCTCTTTATTAATATTTGTGGTCGTTACTAAAGTTGGTACAACTAAAGAAGCAAGCGGTCGTCAACATTCATCTCTCCACGGGGTGTCTAACTCGGTGTTAATTTTACACTGGAATATCTCTTTAATATTACTACAGAGGTACAAACAAATCTGATCCTAAAGACATTTATTTGAAAGATTTGACAGGTTTAGACGACTGTACCTCACACCTGAAAGCACTGTAGTAGAGACATTCTCTGTGTCCTGCAGGTTACCCGTCGTGCTCAGCGCTCCCAGACTGCCCTGCAGGCCCAGATATCCCGTCTGTCCCAGGACAAGAGGAGGCTGCAGGAGGAGATGGCAGCTCTGCTCGCCCAGAGAGAGGAGCTAGAAAGAAAGTGTTTAGACTACAGGAAGGAGCAGGCTGACATCTTGCCTCGTCTGGAGGAGACTAAGTGGGAGGTGAGATATGAGTATATGAGCCGGTGAGCTTGACTAGTTCAGTAAAATGTTATCAAGGCTACATCATGCTAGGCTAAACAATGAGTATAAGGCTGTGTTTATGAGGATGCATATGATTGTACACATCGAATTTAACACCAGGAACTACAACAGCCTCTCAGTATTTACTCAATACTCACTGATTCTCCAGGTTTGTCAGAAGGCAGGCGAGATCTCCCTGCTGAAGCAGCAGCTGAGAGAGAGTCAGGCCGAAGTGACCCAGCGAGCCGGTGAGATGGTGGCTCTGAGGGGTCAGCTGAAGGAACTCAATGCCCAGCTGAGAGAGCGTGAGGAGGCCATGCTCGGCCTGAAAGACTCCTACAGCACCAAGAGTCTGGAACTGGAGAAGTGTGAGGGGGAGCTGAGGAGGACCCTTTCAGAGGTACGTTTACACCTTAACACTTAGAACAGAGGAATAAAAGAGAGGTAGAAATCAATATTTATAGTCTCTCAATATGATTAAAATTCTTAACTTTCTTTTCAAACTTTTTTTTCTTTTTTTTTTTTTTTTACATTTTCTTAATTTGATTTGCAACCATAAAGCATGGCTTCATGGTGTCAGTAAAGAGCAAACACTGAACCACCTTTGAGCGTTATAAAAACCTAGTCAGTATTATTTTGGCTGAGCTATGATTAGAAACCAGGTATGTTTTTAGTTTGTTTTTCTACGTAAACACTACTGCTGTAGATACAGTGTGCAAAAATGGGAATATTAAGCAATATCATGTGATATGATTCTGTACTAAATCTGCATTATTTGTCCATATGATTATCACCATGTATACTTATGTTTGTTTATAGATCCTGTTGTGGTTTTACTTGCTGATACACATAGTATAAAAAGTCAAATATAATTTTTTAAGGTCTGATGATACATTTTCATTCCTACAGGTGTCTGTTCTCAGAGAGAAGCTCGGTGTGTTTGAGGCAGAGGTGCTCAGTTTGAAGCGGGCTCTCAATGAAGTGAGCAGAGGAGCAGAAGTTGTTGTGAGCCCAAACTTAGCTGCAGCAGGACTGTTGCCTCCATGGGGAGCTGTCCACTGTCCTCGAAACCCTTCTGAACCCTCAACCAACTCCCTCACTCCCACATCTGACACCCTGCTGAGTCTTCAGAGTGATGAGGCAAAAGCCCAAAGGCAGGAGGCTCAGAGGCAGGAGAGGCAACGCGAAGAAGCTCAGTGGCGGGATGCACAGCAGCGGCAAGATGCTCACATGCAGCAGGACATGAGGATGCGTCAGGACGCCCAAATCAGACCAGAAGCCCAACTGCGCCAGGAGGCCCATCATCGTCAGGAAGCTCATCTCCGCCATGAAGCCCAAATACGTCAAGATGCTCAACTACGCCAAGAAGCACAGCTGCGCCAGGAGGCCCATCTCCGTCAGGAAGCCCAGCTCTGCCATGAAGCTCAAATGCGCCAAGAGGCTCAGCTACGCCACGAGGCACAACTCTGCCAGGAGGCCCAACTGCGTCAAGAGGGCCACCAGCAGCAGAGAGGACAAGAGGGTCACTGGGACGAGGCAGGGGAGCTAAGGAGGCAGCTAGAGCAACTGCAGGCTGCACTGCGCCTAGAGCGGCAGCAGCGAGAGCGCCAGGCCCTCAACTTTGACCAGGAGCGACACACCTGGCAGGACGAGAAGGAACGAGTTTTAAAATACCAGGCACAGCTGCAGCTTAGCTATGTGGAGACACTGCAGAAGAACCAGGCTTTGGAAAAACGAATGAGCCAGCTTGGAGCCAAACCAACCACCACATCAACCACAACCACTGTAACCACAACAACGACCACCTCCCCTACCTCCTCCAATTCTCCACCTCCTCCCCCGGCCCTTTCTCCTCTCTCACCTCAGCCCCCACCCTCTCTTTCTGGCCCCATTGCCCTCACCATCTCCCCGCCTTGTGAGGACCAGAAAGGTCCTCCTTCTCTCCACCAGCTTGCGCCTCCGTGGGCGGGACCCTCACGCCTTGAGAGGATAGAGTCCACTGAGATATAAACACAAATTGTCCAGCTTAATCCACTCACAGTGACAAGGCCTCTCAAATAAAACCACCACAGCATACAGGTGAACATTTCAGACTACAATAGAATAAATCAGACCAGCCTGACATACTTTTCAAAGCGACTACAGACACTAAACATCAACAGAGGCCTACCGCAGAATCCAACATTATCAGCAACAAGCAGATCATTTTAACAGAAAGTTGAAACACATTTAATCTATCGATGATTGTTTAACCTTTTAAGCAGCCTTTCTCTTACTAGTTGCACATGACTACATCCTACATAATCAGTGTTCATGAAAAGGGTGCCACACTGAAGGATGGCAGAAAAACAAAATGTTAAATGACAATGTTTAGAAACAGCACTAATACAGGGGTCATTTATCTCGATAACTTGATGCCCACGCTAGAAACGGACCAAGACAATCAGGGATATTGTCAGAAATTATCAACAAGAATATTATGCGGTATTTATTCACTGTAAGTCTTTGTCACTGGTAATGTAAAAGTAGAATTAGTGGTCAAAGTGTGTGACGTTATCTTGCATTTTTGGCCGGAGAGCGCCTTACTCCATCCTTCCCAGCATGTATATGAAAATAACAAAGGCTGGGGAATAGATGAAAAGAAGTATCAAGAGTGTGATTATCATTTTCAGTGCTTTAATTATATATCAGCAAACCAGTTACAAAGACTCATTTCACATGGCTGGACTATTTTAATTTAAAAACCCAGCAGATATCAATGTTAGAGGTCACACAGACTGATTCTTGATTTCAAGTCATTTCATGCACAGGGTCTCACATGCATGACTCATTTGAACACATCATTGCGAGCAACAGAGTTTATATTTTGTACAAGTTGAATTAAATAGATATGTTTAGCAGATAATCAACCCCAAATGAATATAGAGTAAGTTTAAAGACGATGGGTGAACCTGGTTCGCCTTCACCGCAGACCTCCTGCAGTGACTAAAATCAACCACTAGAGATCATTAGAGAGCTGCAAACTCAACTTTTCTCTCACTGAGCTGCAAGGTTGAAAGCACACAATTTGAATTTAATTATTATGACAATTGTGTCATTCACTTTGTGCATTTACAGCCAAGAAATCAGTCGGTATTTCCAAAGTTTTAAAAAATTATAGAATGTATGATATACTAGAAAGAAATACTTATTATAGTTATAGATTGTAAATGTGTGAGCGTGCGTTTGAGTGTGCGTGAAAGAGAGAGCGAGCAAGTGTGTGCATGTGTGTATACGTATGAAAAGCTTCACCTTATGAGATTGAGGATAGAGGGACTAGTGGCAATACAGCAAGTGAAGATATTTTAAGTGCAAAGGACTTTTCTGTTCAATTTTGCAGGTTGGGGTGTGCGTTAGATGTTGATCAGAGCTTGAGAATAGGACAGTCAGACTGAAAAGTCAAACTGAAGAAATCTGTATATCCTTAAAAAAAACTCTTTCTTTCTTCTGTATTGTTCATTTAGCTAAAGCAGGGGGAGACAAGTTTTAAAAAATCAAAAAAGTGGAGAGTTTGCTCTTTACAGGAAGCATTCAGGCTAACTGCACTATGTAGTGTTACACACGAGTTATGATGTATAGTAGACTCAGATGTGAATATCATGGCTTTTATATGTGTTGTTTATGCCAGCATACAAAGATGTTGCTCAAGAATATTAACTTATCTCTAAGGTATTAGTATTATCATCTTTATAACTGTTATTATATTATGGTGAACTGACAGAGAAAATATGTGCCATTTGAGCTTTCCTTCATGTGTTTTTTTTAAACTGTGTAGATAGCCTATTGGCTAACCATAATGGTGCAATCATAGCAACCCTGTCCCAAAAAAATGATGTTCCTTTTGATGTAGGTGATAAATGTAGTTCAGTATTGCATTATTTAGAGAACAAGATGCTACAGATTTTATACATGTTTCAATTTTATTGTTTGCATTTATGTTACTAGTATTGTTCTGGCTTGATAAAAAAAACACCCCTTTGTTAACTCAGCAGAATTAATAAAGATATGTGAATAATTCAGAGTTTTCTTGTCTTTGAGTAAAACCTTTCTCCTGTGGTAAAAACTGTACTGGAGATGAGGGTTTGATTGTCAGACATGTGAAACATTTTGTACTTAATAAAGGATTTTTGTGGGACCTTATTATCACATCAGTTTTTGATCTGGGTATGAATTAGTACTTTTAGAGTAGTGGGTATGACGACGCCATCGGTGCATGCAACCTTGGAGTAAAGTTTAAGTAGAATTGTGAAACCGTCAGTGGTGTAAACCATTACAACAATATGAAGAGTATTTCTCTATTAGTCACTGCTATTTGTAGACTAGAAATCCTGTAGGCGGATTCAATGGGAATGGAAAGAATACCTACATTAGATGGACATCTTAGAAGTGTAAAGAGTGACTGAGAACCAAGGCGCTCTTCCTCAGGAAAAGCTGTCCTTTTATTTGACTGAGGTGTCCTTGAGCGATGCAGCAGAGTTGTATCTTGATAACACGAGTAAGCCTGTTTACCTTCATATGGAAACGGAAAATAAACATAAAGGCTATCATTAATGGTCGAATAAAACTAACACGTTTGAGGAGTAGGGGAGACCAGGGATTGTTGTCACACCTTTAACACTCTTATATATTACTTGGAATCAATACATCATATATGAAGAAAATGTGTACCACACGAAAGACCAAAGTCTTAGGTATATATTTCACATTCATGTCATTTTCATATCTTGTGTCAGTGCAGAGTTATAAGTAATCAAACAGCGAGTGTGAACATGTGACATGTTGGCCCACCATAGGGTAAGTTGTCTCACTACATGGGGTAAGATATCACAGTGGATTTTACAGCTAATAAAACAAGGACAAAATTATTGTTGTTCTCATTAGTTAGGCACAGAAAATGTTCATCATTGAGCTAGAAAAAGTTGTTGAAAATAGCCATTGAACAAATGTTAACATAAAATATTATGTAACAAACTCTGGAGTTTGAAGATCTGTCTGACTCTGTATTTTGGCTGAGTGAATGTTTTTGCAGTACCGAGCCAAGGTATGATAGTTGACATTAAAGTCCTTTATTGTCCTCCAGATTGATTTATTAGCTAGGATCACCTGCCTGACTGTCCTCAGCATCATGTCAGGTACTGCCACATTCTGTTTTTTTTTTATCTCTTGTAATTCCCGACCATGTTTTCTTGTTTTCTCTTCTCCTTTAAATCACTTTTTTTTCTGTAAAGATAAATTCTAAAATTTCTGTATGACAACTGTTGATAAGCAGACGCAATGTGTCCATTTTAATCCCATTTAAACATGTGACAACTAACCCAAAAATGACTGAGACTTGTTGCCCCAAACTACCATGTTTGCTAATTAAAACTCCAGCCTAAAATTAGTGTAAAACAGAACAATGACTGAGGTATGACAGGATGATTTTATCTCTCCTCTAACAAGTCTCTTTTATCTGGAAAAAGCTTATTTTAAAATATATTAAGTTGTTTTTTTTTTTTTTTTACTTTGGGTTGTGTGAAATGGTTAATTGGCGCTCATCTCAGCTCACAACGTGCTTTTCTCTTCTCAGACAGGACACGACTCCTGGCCAAATAAAAGTAGAAAACTAGTATTACACTTTTTAGTTGCGCCGTCTGGTGGCAAAGATAATTGCAATGTGACAACTTACCCATGTGACAACAAGCCCCGGTCTCCTCTACTGTTTTCTTCCCTTCAACCTCAGCTGACAGATCTTGCCATTGACTTAAATGAACATATTTCCAGCTTCAACGCGGTTTTAATGAGAATATCCTCAAGCAAAACGACTCGACAACTGTTGCGTCTCCCCAGTGGCCACCACATTTCGCGCTTACAAATTTGAATTATGTCCCATTGCGGCTTCCGCAGTTGTTGCCGGTTGCTAGCTTCACGCTTGCTAACTAGCTGCTTCGTATTGTTGCTTTACATTAAACTGCTTATGGATTGGTCTAAGGGGCAGAATAGTAGGATTAAAAAAAGTCAAATCGTTCCTGAGAAGCCAGGTAAGCCTTCTCTGCATGAGTTTACCGAGCTACTGTTATCAGTCTGGCTCTAATTTTGTTTACGTTAGCCTGCACCGTGTTGCTAACTGTGTTTGTCTACTTGGAAGCACATGTAGCTTCTTATCTGAACTAATAATTAATACACAAATTGAGTATTGATTACAGCATGAATCAGGTTATAACGCGCAGACATCGTTTTCTTGGCTTACATATGGCTTTGACTGGAGTTTCCTGATCCGGGATGGAAAAAGAGCTTTCACCATGGGAACAGGTCATTTTTCAACATAAATGTGGATGTCAAAATAAAACCTTTCGTTCTTAAATTTCAGATAAGTTAGGTTTTATTGTCTCAGCTGGAAATTTGTCTTGGACTTCACAGTGCTCTAATATAACATCAAAACATACTACAATGCATTCAAACATCAGAAAATACTTCTACTGACATCACTGTAAAAATATGTGAAATAAAAATAACAGATTTATGAGTGTAGATCAGTGGTTTTCAACTGGTGGGTCCCGACCCAAAAGTGGGCCGCGAACACATTCTGGATGGGTCACGAACAGCTGGTCAAAAAAGTAAATATTTAATGTGATATTTATTCGATATTTGATATTTTTTGTGTGCAACTTCGGTAGTTGTCGTCCTCATGTTGTCCCCTTAATGTGCTCTGAAATGCGTTTTACTCAATATAACTAGTGGATTTATGTTAAAGATTAGAGTCTTTAATGTTTTCTTTTTAATTATTAAAAAGATGAATGTGCTTGGTTTGAATTCTATAAAAGTGGGTCACAACTTACGGATCATGGGAAAATGTGGGTCCCAAAGTGACAGCAGTTGAGAACCACTGATGTACACTACAGGCCAAAACTTAACTCCCAACTCAAACAGTTGCGAGTAACTTTAAGTTTTTGTTCACAATGCTTTTTTTTAAATTCAGCATGAGTTTTATGTATTTTGGGATGTATTTACTCCATGATCAGAAGTTGCTTTCATGGAAATGCATCAATTTACTCCATTTACCTTTAGACGTTGATGTTAACAGACCATTACTAAATATGTCAGCAAAAGATAATAAGGGCTTAGTTTTAGGGTTGAAAACATTTGTTGAAAACAAGAGTCACAACTTCAGTGCAAAAGCAAAAAAAAATAAATCACAGTTGGATTATTCACTTCAACTTTTTGGCTTTTGAGAGTCTGCATACAAAAAATCCTAATAAATCTCAACTGCGTTCAAACTACCGCAAAAATGGCTAGAAATAAGCAACTGAGTAAAGAAACAAAAGTACAGATTTGTAAATTGAAGAAAGAAGGATACACTGAAAGGGAAATTGCAAAACGCCTAAAGGTGTTTAACAAAGGAGTCCACTACACTCTGAAGAGACTAGAGGAACCTGGAAGTTATGATAATAGAAAAAGACCTGGACGAAAAAGAGTTACTACAAAAGCAGAGGATAAACATGTCATTGTCACCAGTAAGAGAGATCAGCAAAAGACAGCACCACGAATGAGGGAGGAAATCAACATGACAAGTGGGCAAAAGCTCACAAAAATTGGACTTATGATGACTAGAAACAGGTTTTGCACTGTTTGGTTCAAAATGCAGAGTCCATGTCCGCAGACAAACTGGTGAACGTCTGAAAGCACCATGGGTTACACCCACAATTCAGCATGGAAATGGTAGTTCCATGGTATGGGGATGTTTTGCAGGTGATGGAGTAGGAGATTTGTTTGAAGTAAAGGGTATCATGAAGAAGGAACAGTACCACTCCATCCTCCAGCACCATGCTGTTCCATCTGGACTCAGACCTGTGGCTCATAAGTTTGTTTTGCAGCAAGACAATGACCCTAAGCACTCTGCTAAGCTCTGTCAGGGTTACCTAGACAAAAAAAGAAGAGGAAGTTGTTCTTCAAAAGATGGTTTGGCCCTCAGTCTCCAGACCTTTCTCAATTGAGCTTGTGTGGGATGAATCGGATCGATCAGCCAGAAAAACGCGTCCCACGAATCAGCAGTCTCTTTTTAATGAACTTAAGAAAGCTTGGAATGCAATCCCTGGAACATACCTTAGAAAACTTGTGGAATGAATGCCTGGTATATGCCAAGCTGTTGTTAAAGCCAGAGGAGGTTACTTTAAAGAAAGCAAAGTCTAAGCAACAATAACTCAAATACCTAATAATTATAGTCAAAATGTGTTCTGATAAGTAACTTTCTACACAATAGTCATGTTTATTGTGCTGCAAATTATATATATGAAACTATGATCTTTTTTTGTACAAATGTGATCTTGCTTCCAAACTTTTGGCCTGTAGTGTAGATATTTAGCAATCAAAAACAGCTGAAATGGCTTTTATGGGCAAGGGGGACATGGAATTGCATACTTTACACTTCTACAGGCCATAAATTGACTGAAATGAAATTACTGTACAAACACACAAAAAGTTTGATTGAATTTTTTACAAATAAAAACAAAAAAATAGGAGCATCATTAAAGCAAAAGCAACATTAGATATTCATCCTTTATTAACACATAAGACAAATACAGGAGAACAATTTCAGAATAACTTAATGAAATTAAGGAATTAAGTTAACGCAGTATAACTGACTGTGATTGATGGCAGCATGAAAAGTGTTTAAGACCTCAAATGAAAAGCAAAATTAGGCTTCTCTGTCAAACTAGATTGAGAAACAGATCATTGAATTTAATTTCAAATAACACTTTTAATAGCAGCAGTCACACAACGTAACTGTTCTAAAAGCACAGTTACTTTTTTTGACAAATGTATCATTAGCCTCTCGATTTATTGCCATGTGAAGCTGCAAGCCTTCCTTTCTAAATGGACAATAACAATGTATGAGTGGAGATCCTTGAGATAACTGATTATTGACTGTTACTGCAGAGAGTTGAATCAGTGTTTATTCCCCGAAGGTTGTTTTCTTATAAGGTTAAAGGTGTGGTGAATTAATAGGTGTAAACACAACAGATAGGTGAATACCTTTTCATTGTGCAGGACAGTATGATTGTGTAGTAATGTGAGTCAGTGTTGAACAGTCGCACGTACTGAGTGCATCCGTTTTCCTTGACCTGAAGGCTTATCACAGGTGACGCAAGATGTACTGATTCAAACTGAATCTGTCTTTTTTACGCAGGTTGGCGAGCATGGTTTTGAATCTGTGTCTGCCACACTTCAACACTTCAGCTCATTGCAACAAGGTGCGTGAAACTGTCATGTAACTGTACCTTTTTACTTAACATGTGCAATGCTTTCCGGTCTGTTGTTATAAAGGCATAAAAATTCTGCAAAACTTATGTGTCACAAAACAAAGGCATGCATGAACTGCTTATTATATCTCTACTCTGGAGAAATGTTTAATTTAAACCATTTCACCTTATACCACTTGTAAAAAGTTTAGGAGCAAGGTGAATTACTTAATGTGGACATAAAATAGCACAGGGTTAAGCTGGAGGACAGTCATGTAAAAAGAAAAAGTACAGGTACAAAGTAGTGAGTGGGAGATACTGAATCACAGCTGGCCTTGTCGTGTTCTTTTTATTGGCATTTTGTAATGTGATCATGAATGTATTTTTCCACACCAGGGGCATAAAGGATGCTTTCTTTACCCTTTAAGTGTACCTCAGCTTATTCCTTACTGCGCTCTCTTTGTTGTCCTTGTTTTCCTGTAGCACGTGTAGTATGTTTTGCCCAGTGTTGTGTAAACTTTCAAATTTCAAATTTCAGATAAAATCAAGAATTTTTTAATTTTTTGTAAAGTAGGAACATCATGCCAGAAATTAACACATTCATAGTGAAATAGTTTTGTCTACAAGATTAACTGGATGAGCAAAATCCTCATCTTTTATTTTTTAAATATTATTAACCTGCCATCAGTAATTAATTAACTGATGTCTTTTTAATTATTCTCTACCTGTGTGCTGTCTACAGTCCATTGAAGGTCAAAAACTCCATTAAAAATGTCAAAGGGTTTCTACTGTCTTAAAAATTGTAATTTCAGTCTATCAAGGTTGAAAATGAGTCATTTCCTAATGAAATCAATTTTTAAATACAGCTCTGTGCCGATGGGTATGACGTCACGAACCTTGTATCAGCTGACCCTGCCCTGCGGAGGCGGGGCTTCAAGCTTGAGTACTTCCTCCGTCCACCTGTACAGGTAAGGTGACTGTTATACTCATAAACAGTTTAACCAGAAAGTATTTACAGTGCTATACTTTTTTCACATTTTCTTGTGTTACAGCCTTTTTCCAAAATGAATTAAATTCATGTGTTACCTGAAAATTCTACACACAATACCTCATGATGGCAAAGTGAAAAATGTTTGTTTTAAAACAAAAATATATCATGTACATAAGAATTCACAGCATTTGCTCAGTACGTTGTGGATGCACCTTTGTTAGCAATTACAGCCTCAAGTCTTTTCGAGCATGATGCTACAGGCTTGGCATACCTAAGTTCTCCCAGTCTTCTTTGCAGGACCTCTCAAGCTCCATCAAGTAGGATGGGGTGCGTTGGTGCACAGATGTTTTCAGATCTCTCAGAGATGTTCAATTGGGTTCAAGTCTGGGCTCTGGCTGGGCCACATAAGGTTATTCACAGATTTGTCCTGAAGCGACTGCTTTGTTATCTTGGCTGTGTGCTTAGGCTCTTTCCCTCGACCCTGACAAGTTGGTGGGGGGCTGCAGAAATGGTTGTCCTTCTAAAAGGTTCTTCTTTCTCTACAAAGCACTGCAGAAGCACTGTCAAATTGACCATTGGATTCTTGGTCACCTCCCTGACTAAGGCCCCTCTACTCCTATCACTCAGACTGGCCAGGCAGCCACCTCTAGAAACAGAGTCCTGGTGGTTCCACACTTCTTCCATGTATGGATGATGGAGGCCACTGTGCTCATTGATTTTTCTTTACCCTTCCCCATATTTGTGCCTGAATACAATCCTGTCTCAGAGCTCTACAGACAATTCCTTCGACTTCATGACTTGGTTTGTGCTCTGACATGCGCTGTCAACTATTGTAGTATATAGACAGTGTTTCCAAATCATGTCCAAATCAACTGATTTAACTACTGGTGGACTCCAATCAAGTTGTGGAAACATCTGAAGCATGATGAGTGGAAACAGGACACACCTGAGCTTAATGCTGAGTGTCACAACAAACGCGGTGAATACTTATGTACGTTATATTTTTCTTTTTTAAAATCTTCCTTTTTTTTCCAGGTGACGTTGAAGTTTGGCTTCCAGGTGGAGCTGTGCAGGGTGGACATAGAGCTGTGGCCCTGGGGTATGGACAGAGGACAGGCTTGCAAGAAGCTGGAGATCAGCACCTGCTCTAATGAGCCAGTTTCCAAGAATTTCAGCCAAAGTTACAAACAAGGTCAGCAAAAGGAACAAAAGCAGGTTAAGGACCAGAGCAAACAAAACACAGAAACACAGAAAGGGCTCGATAGCAAATATGGTCAAAGTAACTGCCATCAGTGGAGCCTTCAAGCCCAGCAGTGGGGAGAGCAGACTCCGAATGAGCCTCAACAAAAAGGCCATGTGTTAAATCATCAATCAAACACTGACTCTGGCGATCTTGTACTAGACTTCAAACTGGTAGGTCGATGTGAACTTAGAGAAGAAACACACGTTTGTTTCACACGCTCAAATTATCGCCACCGGCCCCCATTCCTCTCGCCACCTCCTCCACAACCTGCCATCTGTCGCCAAGAGGAGCTATGGAGTCGGGGTCAGTTCTCGTTGGGTGCTGTTACACAACTGCGTGTCACTCTACCATACGGCGGTGCAGCATCCGCTCTGGGACTCAAGGCTTTGACTGTGTGGGGACAACCTGCTCGCTGCTGCCCTGCTGAAGAAGTGGAGAGGGTTAAAAGAGTCCATGAGGCTAATTATGAGCGGATACCACGACCTGTGATGTTTACCCCTCCTGTCCGCCAGACAAAACCCCCATCACAAGCTGCCAAAACTCATAGGTACATATTTATGAAGAAGAAATCTGTTCTTTCTCTTTTTTGTAGATATAAATGACCTATTATACATTTCTGACAATTTCTTGTCTGTCTACAGTAATCGTCCCATCCCAGAAGAGTTCCTGGACCCGATAACCCAGGAGGTGATGATGCTGCCCATGCTGCTGCCCTGTGGTGTGTCAGTGGACAACAGCACACTGGAGGAGCATCAGAAGAGAGAAGCTACATGGGGCAGAGCCCCAAATGACCCCTTCACTGGTGTTCCATTCACCTCAACCTCTCAGCCACTTCCTAACCCCCAACTGAAGAGCCGAATTGACCTCTTTCTTTTGCAGAAAGGGATGAAGGGCAGGGAGGGGATGTTGGGGAGACAAGGGGAAGGAGAGAATCCCCAAGCTTCTAGACTTTTAGCCTCCAGGATGGAAGGACAATCTCAGGCTTTTTCATGTTCTAAGGAAAATTCAGTGAACTGTACTGGTATTAACTGTAATGAAGCAGATAGGAACTCAAAGGGAATCAGAACAATAGAAAAGACTGGATCAGGACATCCACCAGAAGCTGGAAATGACACATGTAGCTCTGAGCCTTCGACCACAGATAGAAGGACAGCTGAGGAGAATCTACCCCCTCAAACAAAAAGACCAAGAAAGGATTCAGTTTCAGGTGAAAACAAGATCTTCTAAAAAAGTCAGATACTGAAACTTATCACTCCTTTGTTTAACCTGCTGACATGTTTGTTTTTCTGGTATTTGCCTCTGTTCCGTTTAGACTGCAGCTCTCATGAGCAGCGGCTGTCAGCCAGCCTGGACGAGGCCCTCCTCTCTGCCCTGCAGGGGCGTCCTTCCTTCACCACAAACTTGTCCGGACAGAAACAGGTTACATTTGACTCTGAAACTCAGAAAGCCTCGCTGCAAAGTCAGACTGAAGGCACTTCTAGCATGCAAAGAGGTAAGATTCTGCCAAGTCTACTCTGAATCACTTAACAAAGTTCTCCTCTTCATATCATTTAAATGTCAAGAGAAGTTACCTTTTGCAGGTGTGGAAGGTGTCTTGAGAGGTTCTGAATGAATCCTTTGTAAAAGCTGGCAGTGATAGCTTTCTGTGGCTTTAAAGTGGAAAATCATTTCCCCTAAAATAACAAGCAAACTGAATTCTGTCATGAGGGAAGTGTTTGAGCACCAGGAAACACTTGAAGATCCCTGAGGGTGTTTCAAGAGATAATGGGAGTAAACCAGAGATAAGATTTACAAAATTTAGGAGAGAATCTTTATAAAAACACACATTTATAACTATAATTAAGGTTGTTTGGGGTTAATTAATTTTCTCTCTTGCTCCCTCCAGGTGAAAAGACTTGCTCTGCATGTTCCTGTAGGATCTCTGTTTACTCCAGATCTTCATTGTGCATCTATCGTCTAACATGCGGTCACTTGCTTTGTGGCACTTGCCTGCGGAGGAAACCACAGCCTCTGAACTCTGTGACTGGATCAACATCCGATCATGTTCCGTGTCCCTCCTGCCTGAACCCCACACCACGCAGTGACATCATGCGAGTGCATCACTGACAGATGCTGTACAGATATGTCTCCAGAGCTTGGGACAAAAAGAGGACTCTCTCAAGGTGAAGACAGAATTGTGCTCAAGGTTTCATGGTATTCTGACCTTGTTAGACTCTATATGTGGATTAGAAAAATCAGGCCAAAAGTTACAGGTCGTCAATCAATTTTAGCATGGAAATTAGCATTAATGAACGTATTATATGCTTACATAAACACATGTTAATATATCACAATTAAATCAATCCCATATTGACTTATTCACTCATGTTCACACTATTTCAAGTCTAGCAGTGATTTATTTTTGTTGGACCCTTGACACCAGTAACAAACTGTATTAGAAAGCTCTCTGCGTGTACTGCCCACAAGTGTCGAAAGAACATCCCTGAGAGCAAAGACCTTTCTAAAGAAAAAAAAAAAACATGAAAGGACTCAAGAATGTAAAATAAAAGTCTTGTTCTCGTCTCTTCCACCCCCTCTCTTTGCCTTATTCTTTTCACCGAGCAGTGGAGTGTAGTTGCAGCCTTGGATATGCAGCCTTTGTGTGGACTGTGGATGGGTAGGGTGCTTAAAGAAAAGGCTGGGGCATTGGAGTATGGACGCTGAGAGGACACAGAAGCGCTTCAACGGAAATTGAGCCGACTCAAGGTTGTTGGGTCATCACGCAGAAACAGACTGGGTCATACTACCTTTTCTTTCTTCACCAGATTCACCACCTTCTATTTAGTACATTTGTGTAGGCTGTGTAGTGTTGAGTTTAATTTTATTCAGAGTATACATTAAGGAATACTGACTGATGTACTGCTTTTGTAAATAGCACAAACTGGTGTGAATTTTCCTTCTCAGTTTAGATTAAAGCTTATTTTTATACCTTCAGCTGCCTTCGTTTTCTTCTGTATACTATCTAGTTTAGTTTTGTTATTAATTTGAACTATTCTCACTTGAAGTGTGCAAAGTGTTTCTCTGCACAGGCTAAACATCATTCAGTGTCCTTACCCAGATATTCATTTTTTTTACCTCTTAATACTTCCTGCACATGTACAAGTGTTAAACCGACAACAGTCAGAAGACACAGCTTTCATTTGGTTTTGTGTTAAAGGCAGAAATGATTTACACGCTGGTTTCCCTGACAACATTAAGCTTAAGTGAGGTCATGGTCTTCTTAGTGAGAATAAGGACTGGAATAAGTTGTGCTGTATGTAAACGCAGATTGTGGCTTCTCTGTTTTTGCTACAGTGGAATCGACAGAGCGCTGAAACAACAACGCATAAACTGATTTATAGTGATGATAGCTACAGCTTCTTTTTGTCTATTTGACTGTAAAATTACGGGTACTCGCAGTTGTTTCTGTAAGAGTTATAAAGTTAGAAGTTAATCCCAGATCAACCCTTCATTTTATTTTAAAGGATTAAGCTTGAATATTGTCATGCCAGTACAACCTGCTGCCTCAGATGCTCATTTTTGTATTTACAGTTCCCTTGCTAATCAGCATCATGACACCTAATTGTTGAAACACAGCTCCAAGCGTGTAACAGGGCTGTGAGTGGAATAGTAAACTGCAGATGTTTATGTTTATTTGAAATGCAAATTGACTTCTGCTGATTGACATTTTTAAATGACATCAAGGGAATAATTTGTGCGACCCCGAGGTGGTCATGATGCTGTTTGTTGCCTGCATGCGACCACAGTGAGAAATGTGTATCCTGCAGTGACTGGCTTGTCAACTGAATCGTGCATGATGATCATATAATCTGTTAAATCAGTGCTCTTATTGTTGTTAATGTGATTAGTTGGTCTACGAGTCTGATTAAATGTTCATGTCATGCCATTTGATTGTGGGCCTCACAGCTGAAATTATTCCTCAAAGTTCCTCTGAATAAGTGCTGCCCCGTCTTGAATACATAAACTGCATCTTCTGCTGTCATTGCTGTTTTTCTTTTCGTACATTTGTTAGATGGCACACATCTCATGCAGAGCCATATCTGCCGCGCACGCTGGTGGCCTTCGGGCGCGCGTGCGTGTGTGTGTGTGTGTGTGTAAGCGCGTGGAGTGTAGCGGGGTGACGTCAGATACGAGTGTCAAACGCCTTGTCAGATCATGTCCATCTGCTTATAAATGAGGGATCGACCGGGACGTCGGTCAGACCATCCACCAGAGGAATCACCTCAGCCAACACCAGCAGCAGCAGCGATGCCACACTCCGTTATCCCCCTGTGCGTCCTGGGACTCGTCCTCGCGCTGTCCTCCGCGTGCTACATCCAGAACTGCCCCCGAGGTGGGAAACGAGCCCTGCCGGAGACTGGTATCAGACAGGTGAGGACCTTTTTCCTTTGTGCTCTGTTTTCTGGATGTTACCTCTGAAGCTGTTTCTGACAGCATTAAAAACTTTTCACTGAATCATGGAAGAGCTCAAAAATATCTTACAATGCCTTGAAAAAATGTAGGATTTAAAAAAAATAGATATCTTGTTGGTTAGGAAAATATACAATTAAACTAAGAGGAGTTTGAGATACTCTTTGACCCTTTGAAAATGATTTCTTTTGATTTTTATGACATAGTAAGTGTGATTGGTTCAGTGGTTTGGGTACAGTTGTGTTTCCAACTTATCAATTTTGCCCCTTTTAAGTGTCCAAATAATTGTATTATTCTGAAGTTCTTGTATTTATATGAGCTAAAGACAAATAGACAACACAGAAAATACAGAAAGCACAAAAATGTGCTGCTAAAATCTTAAAAGCGCTTGTCAGTCGGATATGAAGATTGTATTTGAATGTGTAAAAGATGGAGTATCATATTAAACAATTCTGCAGTTTTCAGTAGACCAGTGTTTTTTAAACCTTGGGGCTCGGACTCCTTGAGGGTGGTTTTGAGAATTTAAAAAAGGCACAGAAATGAGATTGATTAGAGATTGAAATGAGAAAGATATTGATTATTTGTTGTGGTGCTGTTTCAGACTGGCTGTGTGTTAAGTAGTAGCTGCAGGTGATGGCTTTGGTTTATGCCAACCTATTCACCACAGGTTGTTTCAGGGCTATACTTAGGTATAGGTAGGGCTGGGCAAAAAAATGATAACGATATATATTGAAAATTGATATCCCTCAATATCAATGTAAAACACGATCAGTATGCTTTTTAATAGTCGGCATTCAGCCATGTTTTGGTAGACTATACGAATAGCCAATGAAAAAGCCTTAATGCCTTATGACAAAACGTCAAAGAGACACAAAGACCTCACAGATGCAGTATCTTATTGTATTGCAAAAGACATGCTACTAATAAGCACTGTTAAATTTCATTTTTTTATTTCGATATCAACTGATATGAGAAAAAATATATTGTGATAAACTTTTTCCCATATTGCCGAGCCCTATGTATAGGGTTGCAAACACCTATGATATTACTCATGAGGGTTATAACTCACAGAGCATGAATAAATGAATTTAAGTAAGAGTTTTTCTGATTTATCGAGTTGATTTATAGCACCTGGTTAAAACTTATATTTACTAATTCTCCTGCAGTGCATGTCATGTGGCCCCAGAGACAAGGGCCGCTGCTTCGGACCCAGTATCTGCTGTGGGGAGGGCCTAGGCTGTTTACTTGGCTCTCCAGAAACTGCTCACTGTGTGGAGGAGAACTACCTGCTTACACCCTGCCAGACGGGAGGGAGACCTTGTGGATCTGATGGAGGACGCTGCGCTGCCTCAGGGCTCTGCTGTAACTCAGGTGCATTGTTGTTTGGTTGACTGTCATGCTTAGGCAAGTTTATCATTTTAAATGTTTGGTGAATTGGCAGTCAGAAATTATTTTTCTTTCCCTCCCTTTAGAGAGCTGTGCGGTGGATTCCGACTGCCTTGGGGAGATTGAGGCCTTAGATCAAGCCGACAGCTCTGCAGGGAGCTCGCCTGCAGAGCTGCTGCTGAGGCTGCTGCATGTGGCCACAAGAGGACAGACCGAGTACTGACGCTGACAAGAATGAAGTTCATCCCTGGAGATTTAAACCTTGAATCAATAAAGATACAAGATAAAGTTTATTCACTCTTATTCCCTACTGCTGTGATTTTTGACATTAAAATAACTATTTGCTGTATATTATTCAGTGAATGACAATTTTCAACCAGGTGGAAAGGGGGGAAATAAATCATGTCCACTTTAGAAATGTATATAATTATGCACATACTGTAAACTATAGTTTATTCTTTAACATTGCTGAGAAAAAATGTCATGTCAGTTATAGCGGGACACACTGTAAATAAGTCAGCGAGTGGAGATTAAAGTTGCTACAGACATCCATGTAAAACAGACAAATTACCATGCTTGAGCAGTTATTTCTTGTGTAATAGAGACATTATTGTTTTGTTTTTTTAATGAGTGGAAAATACAGAATGTATCACTACCAAAAAAGTCTGCTCTCATTATTCTGTGCAAGCTTGAAATAATTATGCACCATGTAGCAGATCATCTATGTATTTATGTTTTATCTGTCGGAAGGGAAAGTGATTTTCCAACAGAGCGGATATATTCTGAAATTGAAATTTCAGATCAAAATCATGCGGTTTAGAGGGTGTATTTTGAGAGATTGTGCAGTTTGAAGTAGATTACAGGTGGATTAAAAGGGAAAGAGTTAGCAGAAGACAAACAAACCTAAGAGTTGCTGGAAGAGTGACATATTGACTGTGTCTGTCATTGTTGCCTCCAAGCATTTCCTTAAAGTCAGGTCCTTCAAGGATAAAACTTTCTCTGCTCTGTATCAACACGTCCAGTCGTCTTAACCGAAAGCAAATTCTAGAGGCTGTACTCTTTTGTGAGTTACAATAATAGCAGATGTTAGTTCCTGGAACAGTGTGTGATTGCGGTTTGACAACATTCTGCACTAGATCCAGCTGGAACAAGATGCAGAAACTCCCAGATTTTGACAGTTACTTGTTTTGACTGATTCACATTATGAGTGACATTACCATAAAAATGTCACCTTGGCAGTGTCTAATGATCTGTCTGATGCCTCTCCAGTTTTCCCCCAGCTTTGAGGTTGCACACCTTGATTTGTTTTCGGCCCATGTGGAACTGGGCTCAGATAAAGTTCACTGGAGCTGGCTGATTTTTGGGTGGGTTTTGAACACAGTGCTGTATTCTGCAAATTTCTTTTGGCATGTCTCTCATACACTAGCATAACGATTACCCCCATAGTTTATATACAGTGTCTTGAAAAAGTATTCATACCTCTTGAACTTTTTCACATTTTGTCACTCTACAACCACAAACTTAAAAGTATTTTATTGAGATTTTTTGTCATCGACCAACACAAACTAGCATGAAAGAAAATGATACATGGTTTTCAAAAATTGGATGGACAGCGTCTGTGAACAACAATTTTCAAGTCTTGCCACAGATGCTCATTGGGATTTAGGTCTGAACTTTGACCTGGCCATTCCAACACATGATTATTCTTTGATCTAAACTGTTCTGTTCCTTAGTGGTTTTTGTCCCCTACATGGCTTGTGGCAAACTGCAAACAGGCTTTTTTATGCCTTTCTGTCAACAATGGCTTTCTACTTGCCACTCTTTCATAAAGGCCAGATTTGTGGAGTACACGACTCATATTTCTGCAGCTCCTCCAGAGTGACCATGGGCCTCTTGGCTGCTTTTCTCACCAGCGCTCTCCTTGTTCAGTCTGTCAGTTTAAGTGGACGGCCATGTCTTGGTAGGTTAGCAGTTGTGGCATACTTGCTCCATTTTTGGATGAAGGATTGAACAGAGCTCCTTGAGATGTTCAAAGCTTTGAATATTTTTTTATAACCCAACCCTGCTTTAAACTTCTTCTCCACAACTTTTTCCCTGACCTGTCTGGTGAGTTCCTTGGTCTTCATGATGCTCTTTGTTGACTAGTGTTCTCTAACAAAGCACTGGGGGCCCCTGGCCTTCAGAGTACAGGGGGCTGAATACAAAAGCACACAAACAAACCATGTATCATTTTCGTTCCACTTCACGATTATGTGATACTTTGTGTTGGTCTATGACAAAAAAATTTCAAAAAGTTTGTGATTGTAAAGTGTCAAAATGTGAAAAAGTTCAAGGGGTATGAATACTATTTTAAGGTACTGTAAATGACAGCTAAAGGAAGGCAGCCTTGAGCCTTGTGTGTCGATCCGCTGACTTCCCCTTGTGTCACAGAGAGAGTGACATTTTTATTTGTGTGACAAGTCTCAACAACAGTTGGCCTGATTGTCAAGATGTTTGGTTCACAAATTAGTGTCTCTGCTAGGATTGATTGTAATTGCTGTGGCGATCCCTTAACCTTTCATGAATAGAAATTGAATTGGTTGAAAACCTGAACCAAATATCACCAAATCACAGGGTAGCTAAACTTAAAAACAAACAATGCCATTACAACATCGTCACCAAGCCTAGTTAGGTTTCACCATAAACTGTAGATTAAAATGCATGCAATAAGCTTTCACTTTCCTATTTGTTCATCCTCAGTGACTGTAATCCGCGACAAGATCCTGGTTCTCCTCAAGTTGCGCAATATTTGCATGAGCTGCGGCCTTCCAGGGCACTACTCCCTTCACCCCCTGAATGTTGAGATCCTGGTTTCCCAGAGTTATGCAATATTTGCCTGTGCTGTGGTCTGCCCTGAGAGCAACCCCCTTCACCTCCTAAGAATTGACAGCACAACTACAGTAGCTCTCACTCTGTCATTACCAATCAGGGGAGGTCTCATGTAAGCATTCAGATATTGTAGGTTAATATTCAAAGTACCTTGGACACCTCACAATAAAGAAGCAACTGACAGAAATAAGCAACACATGACTGAATCACCATGCATGAAATCCTGACATACACTTCAACTGAAGTGTAGAAATCTTCTCATTGCATCTATGGTTGTAAGATTATACACTATTCCAGGATTAGGTGTTGCCTATCCAAGGTTTGTTTGAAGGGTTGTATGGCCTAGGTGTCACCATGCATCACTCATTGACTATGGAAAACCCCAATACTTGATTCGATAACTTATGTTCTGTGAGGTCCACAAATGTTTTCAAAGGGTTGTGAAAGAGAAGGGAAAGTTAACAGCCCATCAAAACTCCCTTTTTCTTTAAAAAGAAGAAGTCAATGTTCAAGTTTTCTTGTTCTGACCAGGGAGAAAAGGTCGGAGGTCACTTTAGGAGAGGAGAAAGCAGCGCCTAAGTAAACACACAGCATCCTCATTTGTTCAAATATGGGCGATGAAAGACAGCAAGAGGAATGAAACTCTATTATGCCATATAAGACACTTATAAGCTCACATTAGAAACTTGTTAACAGTTTATATACCTGTCATCAACATCAGTGTGATGTTAATTAGACTTCATAAGGGTTTATTCAACAATATTGAACATATTTATAATTGGCTCGAAATACACTTTTGGGAACTTGTTACTGATTACAATATATAGACAGCTTTTAAAACTTAACTTTTTTAATCAACATTAATAAAACTGTGTGAGCCTTGATTAAAAGTATAGCTAATATTCATTATTGCTCATAAGTTTCCCTGTAAACCTTCACTAGCATCTTGTTTAGAATAAAAAACATGTTCACTTTGATTAGGTCATCGATGTTTATAAGCATCTTACAAGGTCTTATAAGTGGTTTATTATCTATTTATTAATGCTTATTAGAAGAACCTCAATATATAAACCTTAATACTCCTGGTAGGAGTTTGGGTCTACATTTGCACAAAGAAAGAGCAGCACAGTAAACTCTATTTCCAATAAGCTCCAAAGCTTAAGTAGTAAACTGTGGGTGCAGCAGCTGATGTCCTGTTTAAAGAGGACTTCTGGCAACCAAACAACAGGCATACATAGTCCAAAAGTGTCACATCTACAAATCTGATCTACTGACAGGGAAGTTTTTTTAAACTATTTGAGCAATATCTTAATCATACATTTATATATATATATATATATATCTTTCATAAATGTATGAAATGACCAATGTGTGTTTACCACAGGCAGCTTTGATCCTTTTTACTGTTTTCTCTCTTATTCATGTTTTAATATCTCTTACTCCTCTTATTGTTTTGATTTTCTACCATCATCAGTTTCTATTTAGGCAGCTCTTAATGGTTTTTGCTTTCACCCTCTTGATGCTTGTATCATTTTAAGGGTTCCCTTCCTCTGATTTACTCTTTTACATTGATTTTACATTTACAATTTTACCTCTCTTAATGTTTTTAGTTCTTATTCCTTCCTTTGTGAGTTCGTATGATGCCTTGGTTTTAATAATGTCTCACCTCATGTGACACTTATCAAATCTCTTATGTCCTCCACAGCATGAAGACAGTGAATTTGAGTTATTGCCGACTCAGTGCATAAAGACGCTTTTCTTCTTTTATTTGTCCTTCTTTTTCTGTGTTTCTTGCAGACTTCCTCTTGTTCTTTCTTTCTTTCTTTCTTTCTTTCTTTCTTTCTTTCTTTCTTTCTTTCTTTCTTTGTGGCTCTTACTTTTTTCCTCAGGATTCTGTAAGTAAAGACAGGAGTCTAACTTTTTTCAGTCCTGTGATTTAAGTCAGGGTAAAATAAATAAATAAATGCAAACATTTTACATTTTGTTTTTGCCCCTAATCCTCTTCTGTATCAAGTCAAACCAGAACTCACGTGTCTTTTTAAGCCTCAGAGTTCTGCATCAATGCCAAACTGTCTCACTCACAACAAAACAGGAAAGTTTTTAATTTGAGGGCTTAACAGGATCTGGTATTAAGTGTCGCCTGCCAAGAAATACACCAGACACTGTCAGTCAGACACTGTTTTTATTCGTTGGTTTCGACTGCCACCAGATTTCCAACCCTTCCACTTTTAGATAAACACCCAAGAAGTCAGTCTATCATTTGTGCTGCCAGATTTTTTCTCCTAATAATTTTCTTGTTGTTTGCTTTGCGTGCTCTAAAAAATTTCACAACACACCAGTAGGTAACCCACATCTGAGAGAAAACAATAAACGTGAAATGTTTCTCCACAGCTGAGCTGCAGCTTCTGCACAGTTAGACAAAATTAATATTTCCTTATCAGATTCAGATATTGTCAACAAGCCTACATCAATACCTGTCGCTCTTGTTCCAAGATGTAGTCAGTGATGATGTTGCAACATGTATCAGATTTGATTAGACCCTAAAGTTACCTGAGATTTTCACAGTTGGGGCAGAGGTCAGGGCAATCTGCAGACCCATTTTGGTAGCCTCTAACTGTTCAGACAAATTTAAAGTTTTACCCAGCTTTATAAAATCTGTTTATTTCATTCATTTATTTTGCAAATATTTAAACTTTATCTGCATACTTTTGAAGTGTGACCCACATCCTATAGCCTGTTTCTCGTGTCAATGGAAGTTGCTCTTGCCAAGTTACCGTTGAGTATCCATCAATCAAAAAAA